TGGGGAAAACTAAAGGGAGGTTCTAGGGAAGCAAACAGCTGCCCTGTTATCCTGTCTACTTGGGAATAAGATCTGTTTCATCTATAGGGAGGATAGTTACTAGCTTAAAACTAATTTCAATTCAGTAATTTGTAACTACTCTCAAATGAAACATTTTCATCAAGAATTTTTATTAGCTTCCTTCAAGGCCCTCATCTGTGCCCTTTGTTCAAGTCAACCCTTCAAAGTGTCTACTCAACCTTCAGAAAATCCCATAAAAAGTCAATCAAAATTCTATCTGTGTCACAATGAGAAGAACCCCTTTAACCTGTGATATGGTGTGCGTCCATGCCTCGTCTGTGATGCTCCCCAGACTCACTCTCTTTTTCTAAGTCTTGCCAACCTGGGAAACTTGGACCACATCTCCATGTATCGCTTCTTACTTCTTTCCCAGAAGAGAGAGCGTTTCCTACTTTGTGGGCTCCAGGGACAGCAGCCCCCGTAACTGGGTGTTCCCCCCTGAGCTGGGTTTCAAAATTTTTCTTCAAGTGATGAGAACAGTTCACTCTCATTTTATAGGCAAGGAAATTAAAGTGCAGAATAAAAGCATCAGTTCCAGTCAGAACTGGAGAATCAAGATCCTTGCTAGACTATTAATTCTTATTAGGAATTAGTAATACTCACGTAATTGTTGTTCCTCGTCCTAGTGTGTTTCCTCTTGGGTCAGCAATTACAGAAAATTCACTGGAGTCAGATTCCCAGATGTGCTGGGTATCATTGTTGTGCTTTGATGTGACAATAACTTTATCTGCGACCAGGAAGGCAGAATAGAAACCAACACCAAACTGGCCAATCAACTCAGAAGTTGACTGGCTATCTTCCTGGGCTTCAGTCATTTTATTTAAAAACTCGCTTGTCCCGGACTTGGCTATAGTGCCAAGGTTTTTAACCAACTCTTCCCGGGTCATTCCTACACCAGTATCTGTGACATGCAGCAGGTTCTTCTCCTTGTCACACTAAAAGCAAGACAAAAACAAGAGAGTCACACTCGCTTCATATCCATGCTATGAAAGAACAAACCCACCAACTTCAATACCCAATGTAAACCCAAGTAAATACTAACAACATATTGAGAAATTACCAGCCTCGGGCCGTATCAATTCTAATACGGAAAACTAAACCGAGTTATTTTCCTCTGTATAGTTTTTCATGGTCTTTTGGGAGAGTATACATCTTTCTAGAGAAACTTAAATTCAGTGCATTTGAAAAGTAAGCAATATAAAGAGGACAGAGACTGATCTAAATGTCAAAGGGCAGAGATAAACCTAAACAAATTATTTTTGAAGGAAAAAATTCAAGTATAAAAATTGTTTTGCCTATTTTCTTGATAGAAAATAAAAGGACCCAAAACTGGATGACTTCTGAACTTGGAATCTGGGGTGATCTGTGTTCTTTACTATATATTCCCGACTCTCTGCCTTTGGGGAAACATAGTAGGAATAAACTTCCTTCATTTATGGCCATGTAAAGCCATGTGACTAGCTCTGGCAAATGGGGTGCATGCAGGAGTCAGGAGGGTGGTTTTCAGGCTGGAGTCTGTAATTGATGTGAGACCCTCCAAGCTCTCTCTGTACCATGGCAACCAGCGACACTCCAGATGGAGGCAGCTCAATCAGTCCATGTCCTGCAGTGAGGACGATGTAAAGCAAAAGCCACAGGGCAGCCTGTGATTGATGACTAAAACCAGGGCTTGGCAAACTTTTTCTATAAAAGGGCCAGAAAATAAATATTATAGGTTTTGTAACCCACAGGGTCTCTGTCACAACTACTCAACTCTGTTGTGTGGCACAAAAGCAGTCACAGGTAAGACACAAACCAGCACTGCCATATTCCTTTAAAACTACAAAACAGGCAGCAAATAGGACTTGGCCCATAGGCCACATTTTGCTGATCCCCTGAATTTCAGCCCGAGACTTGAGGTTTATTTGTTACTCCAGTATAACCTATACTTTTTTGACCGATTGGAGTCCCTATCTCTGAGATTTTTTTTTTTTTTTTACATTAAAAAGAAAATTGTTTTAGGCTTACCTTAATTTTGACCGTTAGCTCCTCATTTCCAGAAAGAGCATTTTCATCAGTCAATGATATTAGCCTTATCTTATCTAAAGCATCAGAAGCATTTGAAATCAGTTCTCTCAGGAAAATCTAAACGGAAGTCAGATTTAATAACCAGGTTATCCGCAAGATACATGGGACATTTAAGTCAAACTCATTTTATTTCTTCTCTGTATTCTGAAAAAGCACTTTTAAAGGAATAAGACTTCTTATGATATAGAGGTGGCTTCATTCTTTTGGTAAAAGGGACAGTTCTTTATACAGAGGATTATAGCAACTATAAGGGAAAACTGAACTGCTAAAAGTAGTAATGCTCTTATTTTCCTACTAGTGGTCTTTATGTATGTAATACATAAAAGTTTGTGGGATAATTAGCTAATTATTCACAACTAATTAGTAAGCCAAGAACATATTTGGGTGGGGGGAGGGGAAAGGAAAAACAAGGGGAAAAAAGTCTAACATCCGGATAATCCCTTATTCCCAAGACACACACACACAGTAGGTATCCAGCAGCAACCCTTATATTTAAACTTGGCTACCTACTTACTTGATGTTACATGAAGTAAGTACACTTACAAATGAAAGTAAACAAGTATGCCAACATACAGAGACAAAATATTATCCTAACCACATGTTGCTTACCTCTTTATTTTTATACAATGAATTGATGATAAGTTTCATCATTCTGTTAACCTCAGCCTGGAAGGCAAACTTCTCTGATTTTTCTCTAAGTTCTCTTAATTGGGATGCATTTAATCCATCCAACTGTATAGCTTCTTCCTCTCTAAGGAAATAAGTTAAATAAACAAACACTGCATAGCTTAGTTCCCTTACAAAATATAGGAGCTGTGATGAGAGCACAAGTGGCCTCTCAAGAGTATCTTAAAGGGTTAAAAGGTAAAATGGAAACTTTTATAAAATATTGCTAGTCTATCATCTCATTATTATTTTATCACAAGTTACCTTTGATGAGTTGGAAATACATGATTCTTAAAATTTCCAGAAAAACAAACCCAACTTTCCTTTACTAAAAAAGCAAAGACATATTCTTTATGTTCTCACATGTGGGAATGCCTGGTCACCTGGGAAGCTTATGCCTCTAAGGGTCTATGAAATTATCAATTAAGTCCTAAGAGGCCAAATTTTAAAACACTGTTGAAGTGACAGAAATCCTCTTTCTAAAACTGAGTAAACATGCACACTTACTGAAATATTTGCTAAAGTCTTAGGAAGGTTATAGGGCTACAATTCTGCGATAGTTTTCCAAATAGTTTTCTAAAGGCATTCAATTCAGTTTTGACCAGTCATTCCTAGGGGCAAATTAGAAGATACTTCTCTAAGCACACTCCTGAGACTAAGACTTTGTGCTAATTTTACTTTTTTGGTATTTAAATTCAGGGCGCTACACATCCTCTGGACTTCTGGAGAAAAGATACAAAAGAGGTTACTGTATCCTACCGTGTCCACAAGGGCTAATGTGTTTAATTTCAAATGAACACAAACCTCTGGACTACTTCATCATCTGTCCTTGAGCCTTCTCTACTTTTACCCAGATCCTCTTCTACGGTACCATCCACATCGACTTCATCGTCAGCTCTGACCGACCCTGAAGGAGACACACCACCAGAACTCTCTGAAACACCGTGTCTTCCCCAATCAGAAGAAGGAACAGGCTCGAACAGGGCAAGGGTAGGGGTTGCAAAACTCAGTTGGTAAACACGCAGGTGGGGATGGAAGGTCGAGTCCACCGGCTTTCAAGCCCCGCGCAAGCCCAAGTCAGCGTGTTTCGTAAGTTGGGGTGCTGAGGTCCTCCGGCAGATTCCGAAAAGCGGAGGCAGCCTGTCTCCCAGGGGCGCAGCCCCCACGCTGTGTAAACCCCGTCCGCGGCCCCAGCGCAGGCCCCGGGCGCTCGCACGTGTTGCGCGCAGGCCTCCGAGAAGCCCTGGCCGCGCCGGCCCTTCCCACCCGGGTCGGAACCCAAACGGGACTTGTGCAAACTCCGGCGAGGGGACCCGAGATAGGGCCCAGGGTCCTGAGCAGGGGAGAAACGGGGCGAGATTTGAAGGTGCTCAGGAGCTCGCGCCAAAGTGCACCCCACGCGCCGACCCTGCCCCTCCCCAGCCCGGCCCAGGCCCCGCGAGGACGCCCCGGACGCGGACGGGGGTCCCCGGGCTCGGGCGGCCAAAGGTTGCGGCCGGGGCAAGAGTCCTCGGGAGGGGCGCCCGCCGAGCCCCGGGGCGCCCGCCGAGGCCCACCCCGAGGGGCCGCCCCGCCGGGGCCCACGGGCGTTTAAACGCCGTCGCCTGCGGGCCCCGGAAGAGGGGGGACGGGATCCCCGAGCGCTCTCGAGGAAAGGGCCGGGCGCCCCTCCTCGGCCCGGCGCAGGGCCTGTTCCCCCTCCCTGGCTCAACGCCCCCCAGAACCTTCGAGAAGAGGCCGCGCTGGAGGAGGGGGGCCTCGGGGTGCCGGCGGCCGCGGCTCACTCACCGAAGGTCAGCAGGACGCAGCAGAGGCCCAGCACCCACAGGGCCCTCATGGCGCGCGCGGCGGGTCTCTCTGTCTCTTGAACGCAGGAGCCGCCTCCGCCCCCCCACCCCGGCGCTGCGATCCTCACACCTCAGGCCGCGCGGTCCGCCCACTCCCCCCCGGCAGGTCGGGCCGCTTTTCACCCCCACTTCTCGCGGGCGGGGGACGGGAAACACGAACCCGCCAATCGGGCCGCACCACGCACACTCCGCACCCAATGGGGACGCGAGGGGGGCACCGCGGCGCGCCAATCGGAGCGGTCCAGGTGCGGTACCCGGCGCCCGAAGCGTGGCTCCCGCCGATTGGTCACGCTGAGCCCCTTTCCTCCAATCACAGGGCTCCGCGGGCCCCTCTCGCGCGGGACCGCCTCTTCGCCAGGGAAGCCCTGGCCTCGCCGGGAAACCGTCCAATGAACGTCAGCACGGAACGCGGCCCCTTGTCGGGGCGAGGTCGCCAGAGAACTACTTCCGGAGCCTGGAGAACGTTTATTCCGTGACCAGGGGAAACGGTAGCCATGGCAACGCGTTTCCCCACTTTCCCGGGTGGTCCGCGCGGGATCCCGTTGAGAATGAGTCTAGCGCGATGCTGTTCGCCATCAGCTTTCTACGTGGTCGTGCTGCTCGGAGGAGGGAAGCACGCGAGAGGCGGAGAATCCTCCCGGGGAGCTTCCGTCGGGGTGGTGAGGAACTGCAGTTCCCGACATGCAACGTGCCAGCGGTGACACACTAGGGAATGCTGGGAATTGTAGTCTTTGGCCTCTGGAGCCGCTCGGTCGCTTGACCCTGGCTTCCGCCTTTTCCTGGCGGGTCCCAGTGGGAACTCAGCGTGAGTTTTAACCTTTGCGACCCACGATGGCGGCCGTCGAGCTAGGCCGCTGTTCCAGGGCTGGCCCGTGGGCACGGCCTTTACAAACAGCTCCGGAAAGCCGCCGCGCCGGGGCCGAGGCCGTCTGGGGTGCCAGGGCCGGCCTCTCGGAATCGGAGCTCCGGCTTTCGGAATCTTCTCTGCCTCGCCGTGTTCTGGGGCCGGAATTCCAGGCCCCCCAGTTCGGTTCCCAGGAGAGGGGAGTGGGGCCTTCCACCTCCCGCCTCTCCCAGCCCCTACCCTTCAGGGACGTTTCTAACGATGCTGATGCCCTCGACTCCCATACAGTTGCGTCCCTGCTGTAAGTCTGGTGGCCAGCAGGTAGTTAAGCATAGAAAAGGGGGTTGGGGGGAAACACCCCAAACAACTTGTAGATTAGGGTGCAGGAGGATACACCTGCAGGTATTTGAAAGCAAAACCCGTGGGGCTGCAAATAGAGCGGGAGTGCAGCTTGGTAACTTCGTAGAAATACCCAGTCAGCCTTCAGAAAACCCTAAAGCGCCAGGTGTCTTTCCTGTGAGGGAGTCTCACACTACACTGCTTTTTAAGTCTCTTTAACCCAGTGTTCACGTAGCTGCCCTGCTTCCCACCTGCACCCCATTCCCAACAAAAACACTCTCTTATTGCTTCCTACAGGAAACTTGAACTTCGAATTTGTTTTCAGATGGTCATATGAATTCCTGAAGACAAGCTTTTCAGTGACAGTCGATCATAATTTTTTACAACTTCCCCAAATGAGGTTTGCCTATCTTGAGTCTGTGGTTGGTGTTTACAGATTGTGGTAGTTCCATATTTAAATCTGCTCAAATTTTCTACATCTGTTATTAGTAAGCAAATAGTAGCTTACAAAACCTTTTTAATGCTTCTGTGCTTGCGCTTTTTTTTTTTTTATTTTGAAGAGTAGGGTGTGAATTACATTCACAAATCTCAAATAATTGTGTTTTTTTGTTTTAATCCGTGTCTATTTTTTTTTTGTTTTTGCTTTTGTTTTTAGAGAAAGGTGACTTCGCGTTTTCTGCATTGCATTACTCAACTGCTTCACCTTTTTCTCTACCTCTAAATAAATAAATCACCGGTTCTGAAACTGCAAATTCTGTCTTAACTGGTCAGTGGGGGGAGTTGGTGCTGCACCTGGAGGAAACTGAGAATGAGATATGACCTCTAAAATAGATCCACTCTGTGGGGGCAGGTATTTCTGTAGATGATGGTGGCAATGTATGGAGCAGGCAGATCGCAAGAGAGGGGCAGAAGATGGCTGGGAGTTGTCTGGCTCAGCTCTCCCCTTTTAAGGCAGGATCTCTCTCCTTTCACCCTGTGAAAGGAATGGGCAGCTCACTCAGTTCCTTGCCTGTCTACTTTTCTTGTGGTCTCCATCTCTTCTGACTTTTGACCCATTCTTGGTCCTCAGTTCCTAACCTGGTCTAGCACCTCCTTCAGAATTTACAGTCCAGATTATTAAGCTCCTTACTTTTAGATCTGATTCCCTGGCTTCCTAGTTTCATATTTTCCCTTTTCACACTTTATGTCACAACTAGAAACATCTGCCTTTGTTGTTTTTAAGCTTCTTCTTAAGCATACTAACCCCACCTGATAGCACCCTACCTTGTAAATTGAACTTGGAAGGAAAAATCTAGGCTAGGAAGTGCCAGTAGGGGCAATAGACAGCTCACTCGCAGGACAGTCCTAGCCCAGCAGCGAGGCTACAAGGAGAATGTAGATTGGGGAGATCAAAGCAGGAAAGCAGTTGGCATTTGGGAACATTAAGAAATGGGGCTGGCACTAAGGTGAATTGTGGGTTGGTTGGTTCACTCAACTGTTCATTCACTTATTAATTCAGTGAGTGTTGAAGGCCTGTATGTGTTAGGTATTATATGAGGTTCTTGGAGTACAGGGTGAGCAATATAGTGCTCTCTGTTTATAGAGTTTTAACAAATATTAACAGTGGAGCTGGGGCCTCCCTGGTGGTGTAGGGGTTAAAGTCTCAGTGCTATCAAGCTATCACCAACCACTTTGGCAAAAGTTCAGTCCTTGGCAGGGAGTTACTCACATGGTTCAGCAGACCTCCACTGTCTCTATTGCTGCTCCCCTCAGCAGTGTATTTCAATAGATACGCCTGTTCTGTTCCCCACTCTGTCTCTGGTGAATCTTCTCACCCGCCCCCCCCCACACCTCTGGCCTATACCCCAGCTCTTGTATGCATAAATAAATAAATCTTTAAAAAATTATAAACATTGTAATGTATTTTGAAGTATCTTGTTATCTACTTTCAAAATGTACCTTCCAATAGTTTTCCCAAATCACCAATTTATAATACTACCACAGCTATATGTGACATAACTTTCATCAATATTTAGACAGTTATACTTAAAAATAATCTGTATTATTGCTTATTTTCAAATATCTTTGAATTCTAGAAAGGTTGAAGATGTTTTAATATGTATTTTTTTTAAGATTTATTTATTTATGCATACAAGAGCTGGGGTATGAAAGGTCCATGCAGCAGGCCAGAATGCAAAAGCCTACCCGGAAGCCCACCTGGGGGGCAGGAATACGGATACCTGCCTGGAGGACTCAGACAATGAGCCTCCCCCCTCCCACTACGAGTCTCATCTCAGACAAAGAACCTCTACCTGCCCTACAAACTTTTCCCGCCATACGAGCCCAACTATCCACCTGACCTCTCCTCACCCTATAAAACCCTGCTTCCCCCTAACAACGTGCGCGGCTTCACTGACCCCCACCTTGGGTGCGTGAGGTCTGCCTGGGGCGCAATAAACTTTCCCTCCCTTTGAGAAATGTAGCCTGGCTCTCCTTTTCTTTACTGCGCCGAACCTTTCAGGGTACAGGCCAGAGATGCAAGGTGGGGGGTGAGAGGACCCACCAGAAACAGTGGGGAACAGAACAGGCAGACTGACTGAAATACACTGCTGAGGGGAGCAGCGGGCAAGACAAAAGAGGTCTGCTGCACCATGTGGGTTGCTCCCTGGCCGGCTGGGGATTGAACTCGTGCTGCAGAGGCTGAGGATTGCTTCATAGTGCGGTGCTTAACTCCTTACGCCACCAGGGTGGCCCCTGTATTTTATTATTTTTCTTTTTGCCTATTTGTATTTTTTGCTTATGTATCTAGTAGGATGTCAGTTTTTAAAAAAGATTTATTTATTTATGTATATAAGAACTGGGGTACAGGCTAGAGGTGTGGGAGATGAGAGGATACAAGAGAGACAGAGTGGGGAACAGAACAGGCAGATAGACCAAAGTACACTGCTGAGGGGAGCAGTGGATAAGTCAGGAGAGGTCTGCTGCGCCATGTGGGTTGCTCCCTGGCTGGCCAGGAATCGAACTCATGCTGCAGTGGCTGTGGATAGCTTCATAGGTTTCGACTTAACCCCTTGCGCCACCAGGGAAGCCCCTGTTTTCATTCTTGCTTCTGGTCACAGTCACGGGTCTTGGCTTGCTCTGCTCCTAGATACATTAGAATCTTTTTCTGGGCCTCTCTTCCTTTTGCACTGTCAGCAAGTTCCCTTGCATACCTTCCCGTTTCACAGGGGCAGAAGTAGCTGCTGGCCAAAGGACACGGGGAAAGGAAGATGGAAAGTTGGAGGATGGGAAGGCCTTATGTCCAGTGCCCCACACACCTCATGGCTCTCAGCTTTTCAGCAAGATGAGGGGAGGTCAGGAGACGTGGACTTCCTGTCATCTTGAATGAATGTGTTTTTTTCTTTTCCAGTCCTAACTTAAACTGCATTGTTTTCAACTCTGATCTCTTGGTTGGCATCTCTTAACGTCAAAAACATCGATAAGAAAGAAGCCATTTTGGATTCCAATCTGTTTGTAACAAACATTTTTAGGAGGAAGTCTCAGAAGCAGTGGAGGTGGGGGGCTGCACCAGGAAAAAAATTGTGATAGTCTAACCAGGAAGCCAAGGCTGAGCAAAGTGAAATGAGCCGGGAGGCCAATGTGAATGTAAAGTGTGCCCGATTTGTTCTAAAGCCCCAGAAACCCATTCAGCCTTATATCTGCTGGACTCTGAATGATTGTCAAAAAGAGAGAGACTTTTTGGACAGCAACATCTTCCCTCAGCTGAACAAACTCTGCAATTCCCGGGGCACCTACTTCAAAGCTGTGGACCTGAGGTGGTCAGGGTTGAAGACCCAGGCACCTTTCCTTTCTAGCCGCTTTCGACAGCATTCTTGTCTCCACTCCCAGCACCTGAAACTCTGTCTGGATTATGTGAACAGCTGCTTTCCCTTTTTCATTTGTGTACTGGGTCACACATACGGGGACTTTTGTGCCGACTACTCGCCTGTCACCTTCTCCAAAGCAACTGACTTGTCAAATTTATCCATTGTAGAACAGAATCTCTACGTGGCTGCTAAAAATGGCTATCCTTGGGTCCTGGAGAATCCCAACTGCAGCCTGGTGGAGTACGAGATTATCCAGGCAGCCTTTCTGAACGAGTCTCAGTTCCAGTACTTTTACTTTAGGGTGGAAGCCACACTGCTGAAGACTTTGGACAATGACAAGGAGGAGACTCTTCCCTCCAGCTCCCTGACAAGTGATGAGGAGAAAGTAAAGATTGAAAAGTTGAAGGCCAAGATTACTAGCAGAGGGCTCCCGGTCAGGTTTTATAAAGATCTCAGTGAGTTGGGTGAGCTGGTTTTCAAGGACTGGTTGGGTGTGATAGAAAAACTTCACCCAACCTCTCTGATGACTGAACATACAGGTTAGTAAATATGGGGACAGCCAGTGTATTGTCAGCGTAAGGTGAATGTTTCTGGTGTGTCTTCCTTTGTGAAAGGAATCTTAAAATGATTGAAAAATACTTTTTAAGGATTTAAAATTGAAGCCCTTTTCTAGGAAACATGCATTTCTCCATTTGAAAAAATTTGAAACTGAAAATAAGAGCACATCAGGGATCATGGCAGATTACCTAGGAATAAGGGATCTTGGAGAAGACCCCAATTATCTGGCAGTTAACATGTGAATGTAGAACAGAGGTCCTTGGCCAGGGGCTGAATTTTTCCCTAAGGGACATTTCGCGGTGTCTGAAGACATTTTTGGTGTCACATTTGGGGGAAAGCTATTGGCATTGAACAGATTGAGGCCAGAGATTCTGTTAAACATCCCACAGAGCACAGCACAGCTCCCTTGATAAAGGAGTATCCAACCCAAAATGTCAGTGCCCCCAAAGTTAAAAAAAGCCACATCTTAGGGGATGAGAGGTAACTTTTATTAGTTATCCTTTGTGTGTGTGATCACATTTGGTCTTCAAGCCCCGCAAAGTAGATACTACACTTCCTTTTTTTTTTTTTTTTTTTTTTTATAGAGGCATGCTTTATTTATTTGTTTTGCTGGTTTGTTTGTTTGTTTTTGTTTATACATGCACTGGGTACAGTCAGAAGCACGGGAGGGTGAGAGAATTCACCAGAGCCAGAGCGGGGAGCAGAGCAGGCAGAAGGACCGAAGTACACTGCTGAGGGGAGCAGCGGGCGGCAGGAGAGGTCTGCGCGCCATGTGGGACCCTCCTTTGGTGGCCGGGGAGCAGCCGGGGTTCGAACCGGGGCCGCAGAGGCAGCGCGCAGCTTCGTAACCCAGCGCTCAACCGCTGCGCCACCGGGGAGGCCCTACACTTCCTGTTTTACCAATGAGAAAAGTTGCTGCAGAGCTGTTAAGTGACTTACCCAATGTCACAGCATCAGTGAGGGATCATTCCAGGATGTGAACCTGGGTCCTTCTGATTCCAGAATTGATGCTTGTTTTCTTTGTCTCGTCCTACTCAGAGGGTAGTAGAGCTAATCATGGCCAGCAGCCTCAGAATCACTTTGGAGTTTGTTAGAAATGCAGAATCCTCAGCTCTGTTCCATGTCACCTGAGTTAGATTTTACTTTTTATTAATGATAAGGTGAGTGGCATGCACATTAAAGATTGAAAAGCACTGCTTGGCATCATATTACCTCAAAATGATTACCTTTATTTTTGAAAATAATGTCTTGTATACATGGACCAATTTAAAAAGGGAAGAGCAATATCAATGTATGGCAGAGATTCTTTTCCTAGACCTTTGGTCAGATCTGTGAAATTGAAATTATATGAGAAGTAGAACATTTCTATGCATAGGTGTGGATTGGGAACTAGGAAGATGGCTTGGGTCTTTGATCAGATTCTCAAAAAATTCAGTGACCCAAAACCAGTTTATGAGTTACTGATATAAGGGCCCAGTTAATGGGAGAGTGCAAAATGATGGCAGGTGGTGCTTCTCAAATGCTTTCAGGGACCAGGCAGGCATAGTCCCTGTAATTTGATAGGGAGCCGATGTATCTGTGGTGAACAGGAGAAAGCTGATCACCCCAAAGTCATTCAAATTCAGTGCTTGGGATGAAATTCCACCTATGCTGATCTAACAAATCTCTGCCTGTAAGTCAAATCACTCTGGAGTCTGGAAAAGAGCTCTATATCAATTATAACTCTTTTAGTTGCAAGTGACTCAAAATGGCTTCAACCAAAAGGGAATGTATTATTAGTTCATATAACTTTATTTATTTTTTTAAAAAGATTTATTTATGCATACAAGAGCTAGGGTACAGGCTAGAGGTGTGGGGGGTGAGAGGATTCACCAGAGACAGAGTGGGGAACAGTACAGGCAGATGGACTGAAATACACTGCTGAGGGGAGCAGTGAGCGAGACAGGAGAGGTCTGCCGTGCCGTGTGGGTAGCTCCCTGGCTGGCTGGGGATCGAACTTATGCTTCAGAGGCTGCAGATTGCTTCATAGTGCGGTGCTTAACCCCTTGTGCCACCAGGGAGGCCCCAGTTCATATAACTTTAAAGTTCAGGATTAGTTCTGGTTCAGATCAGGCTTTATCTGGTGGTCCCAGGGTCTGATTTCTCACTGTTTCTCAGCCTGGCTCTGCTGCCCTGATGTTGACTCACCCCTTGCTTTTCCATTATGAGAAGACGCTATAGCAGTTCCAGGTTCAAGTCCAGCATAAGTGACTCAGAGTCCTAGCATTGAGCCTTCCTGATTAGCCTGCCTTAGGATTTCATGGACAAATGGCATTAAAAAGAGTAAACGGTTTGCCTGTAGTTTGCCTTCAGTAGATTTTGGAATGGATGGTGAAATATGGCACTGTGGGAGAAAGAAGGTGATAATGATACAGATGGGTAGATCCTCACTGGGCACTCATAATAACCATGTATAATCGAAAGTGCAAAACCACAAATCTAAAATATTAAAACTTATCTCTTTGACTGTAAAGACTACAAGCACAACTTTGATCGTTTCTACCATGAAGAGTTTATTGAGAAATGCAAGCGAGTATTTGTTGTTTCCAAGGAGTCGAACAGGATCTTTGACATCTTGGAAAGATTTGCCTTAAAGGATATGGAATTCGATTTTAACAGGGCGGCTTCAGGTTCCAGTTTAGAGTCTATTCTCAGGTAAGATGTCAAGAAATCCCAAGCCATTTCACTGGGCTCCAAGAAAAACAGTAAATGTGATTTTCCCCAATTTGGAATGGCTTTCTGCCCATCCCTTCCTGTAAGAGAGCCCCCCTGAAAGCCACTCTTGGGTAAAAATAGAGGGCAGGGGCTTACCTTTTTTTTGTTCCCCATAGATCAAAGTTGGTGTAAAGTAATTCCTGATGATGCAGTTACTTTAAGGAAAAGAGATTGGACTTGGCAATGTGAATAATGCATCAGTACAGTAGTATATACACGTTAAATGTCTAGGACGGGCCATATCGTTATTTGTGTTTGTATAAAGGGTCGCGTTTTCTTACCCACTGTCCACACTCCTTCATTGTTTTTCCATTGTCCTCTACATGGAACCCCCCATATCTTTTCCCACCCTGGTTGGTGACATACTTTGTTCACCATCTTTAGGTACGAAAAGGCTGGGACATGAAGAACCGGGTTTCCAAGGAGAACACCCCCCTCCCCAGTCTCATCCCTAGAAATAGGGAGGTTTACAGAACAGTTTTAGGTCCTCTCTCCTCACCCTCCAGTCCTTACCACAGATCTCATTTACTTTGTGGGACTTTTTTGGCTTGAAGTAAATCCTTAGTGGCAGGAATGGTCAGGGCTGCCCTGCACCCCCTGCCCTAGTCTCCCCAAGATAGCCTACCCACCACAGAGCAACGGGCCGTCTTGTGACTCTGAAAACTCGTGCTAGAGGAAGAGAAGTTATTTGGTTAAACAACATAGTACTCAGTCAGGATTGTTAAGACTTACAGAGTTTGAGACATACAGGCCATGTGCTAAGACTCTTAGGTTTGAATAGGCAAATCCAAAGAGAAAGCTGCCAGGGAAGGAAGGGGGGTGGGGGGTGGCGTGTGTGGGAATGATTCCTAAGAGGTTTGTAGTTTCTTTTGGGGATGCTGATGGTGTTCTGGAATTAGATAGTGGTGATGTTTCTACTACCTGGTGAATATACTAAAAAACCACTGAACTGTAGTTCAGAACTGGGAATTTTTTGGTATGTGAATTGTATCTCATTATCATTTAAGTTTTTCAGAGTGCCTGAGAAATTTAATAAGCTTTACTGTGATTAAACAACTCCAAAGGTGCCCAGTAAAAATCCACTTAAATAAATCCTCTGAGATGAGTTTTGTGGACATTTAGGGTTGTGTTTGGTTTGCCATTTGGAAACAATGCTTTGTACTCGGAGTTCCTGAGTAGTGTGGGCAGGACAACAGAATAAGGCGTTCTAGAAGTTTTAAAGCATTGTCTTCATGACCAACCTTCTAGAGTGATAGCATTCTTTCTTTTTTTTTTTTTTTTCAATTTTGAAAGCAGCAGATTGAAAAGTTTTCATTTTCTAATTGTTCTTGAGAAGAAATCATTAAGACCCTAGTCTAATTATGGGCATGTATTATATTTGTGCTTTTTCTGTATTTTTACCGGCTAAGAACCAAGAAGTGTTCTAGACACAGGGCATACAGCCATGAACGAAAGAGACAAAAATCCCTGCCATTCAAATTTGATGGTGAAATAATCAAAACAATAAGGCGTCAGTTCCTAATTCCTATTATCACACATGGAATTCTCATGGAATAACTACTATTCAATAATCCCGCCTTTGGTTTTCTATTTTAGTGGATTTTCAGACTGATCTTCTTGCTTTGCTGAACTTGAATGTCAGATTTATTTATTTAATTTTATTTTATTTCATGTACTTATTCAACAGTTTGTGATCCAGTACCATGCTAATGCCAGGTGCTGACTATCAGTAGCGAGTAAATGAGCCTGGTAATTCCCTGCATGGAACTTACATCAAAGAAAAATCACTAGACACAGAGTTATTAAATCATAGCTGTGTAAAGAACAGAACTGGATTCTATATGCAGTGATCCCCAGGGGCCTGGGAATCCCCTGCTTATCCAGAAGCTTTTTGCTTAAAAAGAAAGCAGAGGGACCAGTTATATTAAGTTTATACCACTTCAAAAAATCCTATTTCTGCAGTACTGTATAGGCCAGGGCACCCTGGTAGGAGAGAAGGCTAGTTATATGTGGGTCACTGACATGATGGCCATTTCATTGAATTTCTAGACCACAGTCATCAGGATTGATGGGATTCCTAGGCACAGGAGTGCTCTGATTTCTAAATTATCTCCTAAGATGTTGTATGGAGGACCAGTCTGTGGTGGCAGCTGTGGCCCTGGGGAGGAATGAGAGGACAGATACTAAGACAATGAACTTTAAAGGGTTGAGTCTCCCTCCCTGGGCCTCTGGGGAGGCTGAGCCCTTGACATAACCTGAGGTTCATATTGGACAAGTACCCTGAAATCTGCGTAGTTAGAACAGCCTCGGAAGGGACCATGTCTTTACTCTTCTGATATTATACAGGGCAGGGCTAAAACCCAGAAGGTGAATGACTTGTTTGGAGCTGACTCCAAAGTTTGAGCACTTCATAGCTCTTGGAGACAAATATATACAGGAAAAATTTCCCTTCCTTCCTTGATAAATCATCTTCACTACGTTTTACTCCTTTATTTTTCAGAATAAATTCCCTTCCGACTTACAAGTCCATTTTGCTCTTGACCGGAGACCGCGGTTGTGGGAAGTCCACTCTGATTGCCAGCTGGGTGAATGATTTCAAGAAGAAATACCCGGACGTGCTGCTGATCTCTCACTTTGTGGGCAGCACCTGCGAAAGCTGTGACATCATGTCTGTGATATATTACTTCGTCACAGAATTGCAGCATGCACACTATGGTATAGAATCAGACTTTTACATTCATTCAGGAAGGTTTCTGTTAGAAATCAGTTGTTCTTCCTTCTGTTCACATAGTTTTTTTTTTTTTTTTTTTTGCTCCAATCTAAACTCCATATTTTCTTTTTTTTTAATTTTTAAATTTTTAAAAAATTAAAAAAAAATTTAAGATTTATTTATTTTTATACAAGAATTGGGGTACAGGCCAGAGATGTGGGGGGTGAGAGGACCCACCAGAGACAGAGTGGGGAACAGAACAGGCAGACGGACCGAAGTACACTGCTGAGGGGAGCAGCGGGCGAGACAGGAAAGGTCTGTCCTGCCATGTGGGTTTCTTCCTGGCCGGCCGGGAATCGAACTCGTGCTGCAGTGGCTGTGGATTTCTTCATAGATTGCGTCTTAACCCCTGCGCCACCAGGAAGGCCCTAAACTCCATATTTTCTCATGTATATATTTATACCTTTTTTTCTTTCAAAAAAATTTAATTTTCTTTTCTCCCTTCCTTCCTCTCTCCCTTCCTTCCTTTCTTCCACCCCTCTTTCCTTTCTCCTCCTTCTCTTATTAAATATTAGGTGACTCTCTCTCGTCATGTACCAGTACACCGTCCTAGGCAGCGTGGATACAACTGCCCACACAGGGCAATGTGATAAAGGGACAGGTGGCTGTTTGGGTTGAGTGTGTCTGTATTAGAGTCAGCTGCTACTACCCCTACCCTTCATTCCAGTGGCTTCTCAAGTGGAAGTTTAGTTCTCACTCATGGAACAGTCCAGTATGGGGTTCCTGGCTAGGTAACGAGCGGCTGGCCTCCATGTGTTGAATTGGGGACACAGGCTCTGTCCACCTTGAGACTTTCATGTGTGAGGGCCTCAGAGACTAGGCTTATTGACTAGAGGAAGAGGAAAAAGAGTGGAAAAAGCACCCTTGTTCCTGCAGAGTCCTGGCCAGGCAGAGTACATGTCACGTCAGCTGCCATTTTTCTGGTGAGAACTTGGCTGCCCTGAGCCCACACAGCCACATTGGAGTTAGATGGGGATGGGAAGCTGAGCTTGTGGTGGGGTGTGTGTGAACTTTTGGCAGGACAGCAGCCATCTTTCCTACACTCCAGGGAGATCTCATGAATAAGAAGGGGCTGGCTATGTGGTGATTGGAAGAAAGAACATTCCAGGCAGAAGGAACAGCTAGGGTGATACAGGCCCCAAACTGGAAACAAAGTTGAGTGAGCGAAGAAGGAAAAGGAAGCTGGACTGTGGGGGGCTGCAGGGCAGTTATACCAGCTAAAGCAGGAGGTGAAGATTGGCCACCCCACATGGGGGCTTTGTAGGACAGAATAGTAGGTTTGGACTCTCTTGAGTGGGGGGGGCCAGTGGAGGGACATCAGCAGGGGATTGGTCTGATATGATTGGTATTTTTCCAGAGATCACCCATCATTTGTGGAAAATGAACATAGGGGAGCAAACCCGGAGGCAGGGACACTTGTTAGACGCTACTGCGATGGTCTGTGCAAGAGATGATGGTGACCTGGAGAAGGGCGATGGCTGGGGATGCAGAGGGCTTTGGACGGATGGAGAATTTGTGGTGACATTGAATATGGGAGTTGAGGAAAGGCAGGTATTGAGAGCTCCTAGCTTGGGGCTCTGGGAAACTAGGTGGGTAGTAAGGGCTGTTCACTGACACTGGGCACCACTGGTGGGAGTGGGGCAGTGGGAAGCAAGAGTTCTACTTTGGATGTGTAATATTTAAGATGCAGAGTGTGTACGGGGAATGATAACAATCCGGTGGTTCTAGAAGCAGCTGGGGAGCCTGACTGCCTGCATTCAGACCCCAGGTCACTACTTCTTAGCTATGGGACTGTGGGCCAGTTCTTTTTAACAATTTGTGGCTCATTTTTTCCATTTGCAAAATGTGGATAGCAAAAAGTTTGTTACAGGGAGTTTAGAGGATTAATTAAGCTAGAAAAACAGACACTTAGTGTAGTGCTTGGCACAGAGTGTAGGCACTTGCTGTCTACTGACTCTTTTGAGTTTGACTCTGCTTTGCGGAACCCAGCCCTTGTCAGGCAGAGCAGTTCTACTCATGGGGGGTTTTGGGCACTGAGTGTGGGCCCAGGGTGAGTTTTGGCAATGCTGTATCATCTCTGTATGAGGGCACAGATATTTGAGCTACTTTTTGTGTGTGTGTGGTGCCTGTGTGCAAAGAAGGTGAACATGTGGGCATGAATTCTCAGCGGCTGCATTTCTCATTGCGGGTAAAGCACGTAAAATCAAAACCAGTAGCAGCAGGTGTGATTGGCTTTATAAAAAGGTGACTAATCGGACTCAGGTGGATCCCAAAGGTGTTGGGTCTGGCCCGCCTGATGATATAAACTCAATCATCCTACTCACCGATGCTGATTATGTTCCCAAAGTGAATTGTTATCTTAATGAGTGTATTTTTAGGCACAGAAAGTTCCTAATAAACACAGCTGCTATCTTTTAAACAAATCTTTTGACTGACAACAGTGAATAGATTCAGGAATGGCCTGTGAATGCGTGACAGCTGAGCAATACCTGGGACTCTGAAAGAACACCCTGCCTGGGAAGGCAGGAGGAGCCCAGGGGGCAGGGCTGGGGTTCTACATTTTTAATTTTGGCCCTGCTACTCCAAAGCTGTGTGATCTCAGGCAGTTTAATTAAGCAATCTCTGCCTCAACTCTCCTGTGTAAAAGTCAGATGGGATTCATCATGATTACCTCAGACAATTGTGTGAGGGTTAAGGGATAATAGATGGAAAGTACATAAAATGGTACCTGACCCAGTTGTCATGAATATTATTGTTTTTGTTGTTACTCCTCGCTAAGCTGGAGAAAGAGGCTGCAGCCCCAGGAGGAAGCCGAAGGGGTACACGTACGCAAGGCCGCAGGGTGGTTTAGCAGGGCTGGCTTTTCAGAGAACTGGTTTCACCTGCGTGAGGTGGGTGTGGGCAGAGGAGGAGGAGCTGCTGCTGAGAACAAAGCGGTGGGGTGGTCTCAGAGGTCAAGTGCTTGGAGCAGATTCAGCTTGTTTGCGGAGAGCACTTTCCTGTGCTCCTCCCCTGCTGCAGGCACAGCTCCTGTTTGGGTTGTGAGGTGGAGACCTCTGTAGTGGGGAATCCAAAAGCCTCACCAGCACAAAGCCCACTTTTCTGCCCCTCACTCATCCCTGCTTGTTAGATAAAGGGATCTAGCAGATGAAAGAAAACTGCTTGTAGTTAGTCAAGGAGGCAGACCTGACTCCAGTGGAAGACAGTGGAACAGGCAGGTAGGTGCTGTCTTCACACTGGACACGACCCCAGAAGCAGTAGCTCCCACTGTAGACTGAGATGGGGTGTCGTATTCAAGGCTCAAACATCATAAGCAATATTGCTATGAGGGTTGTGATTTTCTGAAATGGCGAATAAGTCTTGGTGTCATTTCAGACAAAACTGCGTGTAGTCTGTCAATTTAAGCCTAGTTGCATACTTCTAGAAAATTAAATGTGTTTTAAACTTGTGCAAAAATACTTTGTACTTACATGCAAAATCAAATTGATTTCTACAGGAAATGATAAAATTTTTGTGCCTTTATGTGACCGTCTGACAAACATTGAAAGTCAGGGACAGTGACTGCCCTGTATTGTAGGGTGTCTGGAATTCCTGGAAGGTCCCTGTTGAGTCTCCCCTCCACACAACCCCCTCCAAGTAACTTCCTGCTTTTTAAATGTTCATGCATTTCCCTACCGCTGGACCTTTGGTCAATGCCTTTCTCATTTGATAACCTTGCCCTTGCCTCTGCCCGTGCATTCTCCAAAGCTCCTCCCAAATGACTTCTGCACAAAGTCTTTATTCATTGTGATGGTTCTCCATCAAATTCCACTAGCCTTCAGACTCATTTCTGCCTGAAAGGAATTTTTATTTTTTATTGTACAGAACCTACTTTCACTTCCCTTAACTCTTGAATTTATATTGTAGATCATTTATCGCCTGTCTTCAGTACATGATAGGCAACCAATAAATATTTGCTAAGCATAATTACTCTCATTAACTCTAAAAGGATCTTAATCCATTAAAGTTTCTTTGTATCACTTGATTTTCTAAATCCTATAATATGGATCCTACAGTAGAATATGGCTACATTGCTAAGGAAAATATTGCTTTAGGAAAAATAAAAGCAGGATAGAAATTATAGGTAGAAAAATGCTCTCAAATATGAGGTAGTTGGGGTGCTGCAACTCTGTCTCTTAATCAGTCTGAAAGTTGACTCACGTGACTTCCTTTGCTGGTTCATAACTCAGCTCTCCCCAAGTAATTTCCAGCATCCAAGGTCGGAGGGGGACCAATGCTGTGGGTGGAGGAATTTAGGTTGGGTTATGTTAAGGTGGGCTAAGACCAAATAGATTAAGCAGCAGATGGGAGGTGCTGAATGTGAGCACTGCCTGTCCAACCCCCCCCACCATGGCTGTGACCCTTAAACAGACACCTATGATTAGGGGCTGTGAAACTTCACAGAGCTCACAGCCTGACTTCTCTCTCTTCCCAACCAACTCTTTGTAACATGATCTATTTTTGTATTTCAGAAAATGAGAATAATGCTTTGGACTGTACAAAATGTTTTTTAATCTAAATTACTGAAATGTATAGCAGATATGTGCTGGTAAATCTCACTAGCCCTTTTGGGTGGAATAATTTGAGACTGGGAATCAGACACATGCATATAGGCGTCAGCTGATCAGGCATGAGCAGCATTCATTGTCCCCAGCCCCCGATGCCTCCCCATCCCGTTAACATATTTTAGCTATCATGGAAACATTTTCATCTAATTTGAGCAAATTTCTATGCGGTAGGTACCCAGCTCGAAACGGATATTCTTAATGAAGACTCAAACATCTTGGTCTTTTCACTACTTGTAGATGTGTTCATTGCTTCCATCAGTTTAAAGCCATGTGTACTCGTACTAGATGGAATTGAAGAGTTGGTTGGCATTTATGGGATTTCAGGACAGAAGGTAATGTATTTTTAAAATAATACCTATTTTATTTTATTTATTTATGCATACAAGAGTTAGGGTGCAGACCAGAGGTGTGGGGGAATGAGAGGATTCACCAGAGACAGAGTGGGGAATAGAACAGGCAGATCAACTGAAATTCACTGCTGAGGGGAGCAGCAGGTGAGACAGGAGAGGTCTGTTGCGCCATGTGCTATGCCTCGGCCTGGAACCCATGCTGCAGTGGCTGTGGATAGCTTCATAATGCTGAGACTTAACCCCTTGAGCCACCAGGGAGGCCCAAATAATACCTATTTTAATACTTATCAAAAGAAAAGATGTACATTGTACTTTTCCTTTGCATTGCCTATCTGGAGTTAATTGCCTATCTGGTATTGCTTATAAAAAGTTGCAACTTTATATTTTATTGAACAAATACTTATATAATATGAACGTTTTAATCTCTCCACCACCCTCCAAGAGAGAGGCTGTGGATGGTCGAAAGTGCTAAATGGGGGCTAGGGGATGCTCAGAATTCACACATCAGCAGTCTGGTTCCAGAAACTGTGGCCTTTATGCCCACACAGCTCTGGCCCCTTATTTTATAATTTGGTCAGGCAATTATTGGGCCCCTGCTGTATTCTCATGTTTTGTGTTTTGGTCTGCCTGCTCTGCACTGAATTTACCAAATCTTGTTGATTAGTCGCTCTTTTTTGTTTTTCTCCCTTTTAAAGTGTTAATGGACCCTCTCATACATAGTTATCAGTGTTTATGTTGTAAAGCATTTTCTCCAAAACTTCAAAATATACACACTTACAAATTATCTAAGTAATATGTTTCTTATAGAAAATATGATAAAGAGAAAGAAAACAGGAAGTTAAATATATCCACAGTTTCACCACTGTTGAACATTTGGGGTGTAGCCTTTTTTTATGGATGTCTATATTTGCATCTGTGTTTATTGTAATGAAGTTGCTCTCCATAATGTTTTGTATCCTGCTTTTTCATTTAAGACATGGCAACACTCAACAAACCACATTTTCAACAAATAATTATTGGCCACTTACTGTGGTGAGTAATTATTACTGCTTACTATGCATGGTGAGCAGAGACAGACATGATCTCTGCAAAGAAAGGCAGCTCACATTCCAGCAGGGATTGGCAGGTATTGCTGTTATCACACAAATAAGTATAAAATTACAACTGTGACATGCCACCCAGGATCAGTATGTAGTGTTGTGAGAGTCTCTAGTGAAGGAGTTGGCCTTCGGAGAAGGCTTCCTGCAAGAAGGGCCACAGGCAGAGCTCTGCAGGAGGAGGGACTGTCCTGCAGTTCCCCTAAGCGTTTCAGTGCTGGGTAAGGAGGTGCCCTGGGGCCAGGCCCTTGCTTTGAATCTGCTGCCTCCTATCAGGATGAATTAGACAGGACATTGAGCCCCGCTGTGCTTCAGCCTCCTCCTCTGCCTTTGTAGAGGGTTGTTGGGAGGACTGAGTGAGTTAGTGTGTAGAACTATACCCAGGACTCCATTCATAGATGGTGGCCGAGTGATGGCATGAAGACAGTGTCATTGAAAGGAGACTGTGCTGCTTTCGTTTCCTGAGAGGTGACATGCCACACACCAGAGCTCCAGGGGGAGGTAACAGGATGGTCAGGGGTGAGGACAGGAGCTAGTTTCCCGGAAAGCCAAGGCCAAAGCCTTCATGGGGTCTCCATGGGGAAAGCAAGGCAGGTGGAGGAAATAGTTGAGGACTGATTTCATGTGAATAATGCCAGAGGACTTGGGATGTAGGTCCTGCCTCTAGTTGTCTGGTCCCTGACCCTGGGGTGATTTAGAGCAGGGATGTGTTAGATAAGAAGGCAGGGGGTGGGAATTGCCTTTGATTGGTCTGCAGGTGAAGCGGTTGACCCGGACACACTACCCCCAGGAATTAGCCAGCCTTGGGAGAAATGGCCTCTCTCTGGATCATTATGGTTCCTGAGAGAGTAAAAGCATCATAAGATTAAAAAATGTAACTAATACAGTTAGGAAGTGAAGACACACTCAGCATACTACCTGCGCCTGAGCAGTCCGTGTGTGATAGTAGGTGTTCTCAGGCAAAGAGATGAGAAAGATGAAGGCATCAGGATAAGGTCTTACTATCCCATGATAAACCCACTTAATTAGGCTGCAGAAAGTGACAATTCTTCAGTTCCACACAATCCCTCCTTTTTCAGTGGAATGCATCACTGTAGATCATCTTCAGAAGTCTGTGATTTTGTTCAATTACCTGCTTGTGGGAACCTTTTTTTTAGAGCTCACATTGGCACAAGTTCATAACAGGTAGGTGAGTGAGTCAGTCTGGGTCTAGGGACTTGGTTGGTATTTTCTTGTCACCATATTGCTTACTATCCAAGTCACTGGTAATAGCTTAATTCCAAGTAGTTTTAAAGTCTTTACAGTTTCCAAATGTCTCTGACTCTCTCCATCAGGCAAAAGACTTTTCTTGGCTGCCCCCCTCAATCGCACCTCATTGCAAATTTATCATGAGCACCGTCTCCTGCAGCCTGTCCTACAAGGCGCTGTGTGCCCGATCAGATGTAAAGATGGTGGAGCTCAGTAACACAGGAGACAGCGAAGCAAAACTCAACATCTTTTGCCAGCACTTCTCCATTCCCCACAACAAAAACCTCTTTGAGCGGACCAGACAAATTCTGAAGAAGAAACCCAACATGAGTCCTTTAAAACTCACAATCCTAGCAAATGAATTGAAAGAATGTAGAATCTACCGAGATGAGTTTCAATGTCTGAATGAGTACCTGGAGGTGATCTCACTTCAGGAGCTGTGGGAATTGATTCTGAAACGCTGGACTGAAGATTATAGTTGGACTTTTAAACAAACAAGGGCAAATTCAGACACTGTGGCTTCAGGAGAAGGTAGGCCTTGGCCAGGACGGATAACTTGTTCTGAATCCACAGGAAGAAAGACCTGTGATGGACAAATCCTTGCCCTGGGGAGGAAGGCCTAGGGTAGGGTTGTCCAGGAAAATAGAGGATGCCCAGTTAAATTTAAATCCCAGATAAACAATAAATCAACTTTTCATATAACTATGTCCCATATACTGCAGGGCACATACTTACACCCAAAATTACTGGGGTGACAGATAACTACCATAATTTTCAGTATATCTCAATGTTTTGCATGGCACATACTTATATCTAAAAGTAATTTGTTGTTTATCTGAGACTCAGATGTAACTAGCTGCCCTGTGTTTATATTTGCCATACCTGCAACCCTACCTGTGGTGCTGACTGCTAGCACAACTATATTTGGCACAAATTTCAGTCACATTTTTCAGAAATTCAAGAAACAGGCCTTTATTATTTCTATAGCTCAATCTCTTTTGATTCTACGGTTCAACTGATGGCAGAAACCTGATCTGGTTGACTCAGTTTCATTTCACCAATCGTTTTCAGTCAATTCAGGATTTTTCCTAGCCAAGCAAAGATGAGAGTCTTTCCTGTGTGTCTGTGGCCCTGAGGTTTTATCCTCAAGCAGGTTGTCACCTGCTGCCTTCCACTGAGGTGGTCATGGCCCCACACAGTCCACAGACACCGCTGTCCCTCCTTTCTTGGCATCCTGTAGGACGCCAATGTTTCCACCTCTTTTGGTTTGTTGGGTCAAAGCTGCCATCTACGGCCACCCGCTGCTGCATTCCCTCATCCTAATGCAAGGAGGCCACTCTCCTCAGCTAACTCCCGCCCACTTCTTGAACTTACAGCCTTGGAGCTACTCAACGTTCTGGCAGAGAATGTCTGTGCTCCACATCTCTTAGAGACTCGGTCCCCACGAGTTCCCCCTGTGTCCTCTGAGCCATTTCTCTGGCTCTTTCTGGTGGTGTTGGGACCTCTGCAAAGCTGTGGCCTTCCAGGCTTTCGAGGGAAAGCACAGCTTGATCATCACGTTGCCTCCATAGGGCTGAACGGCTGGGTGGCCGACGCTCTGTGCTTATTGAGCATCTCGCATGGCGGGTTGACCGACGGTGAGTTACTCCAGCTTCTGGCCATGCTGGGCTATAGGAATCGGCACAAGGTGACGATGTTGCACTGGGCTGCCTTCCGCAACGCTGCCAGGCAGTGGGTCCAGGAGAAGCCCAATGGCCTCCTGTACTTCCGGCACCAGTCCCTGAGAAACGCCGTGGAGCACATGCTGCTGGGTAAGACTGGAACCTGTGTAGAGACCTCCTGGGTAAGGGGCGGTGAGAGTCGCCTACCAGGGAGAGCATGTAGCTGGCATGTCTCAAGTGGAATTGACTCTCTAAACATATGAAAATGGTGATATAAATTGAGACTTGTCCTTGGCGGTAGCCTGACTCCAATGGCTGATCTCCCCAGGGTTTATGCTCTGAGAGGCTTCTGAAGGCTTCTGTCCAGGGCCACTCTATTGGATCCACAAAGTCATGTGGGGCCCACTGTGAGAAAACCCCTACCTGAAGCCAGAGTCCCTCTCTTTTGTCCCCACGTGTCCAGTCCCCAGAGTGCCAGGGAGGTACTAGTTCATCAAAGTGGGCAACTAGTTCATCAAAGGAGGCCACACATGCCCTCCTCTCAAGTCCCTCACCCTTCTCAGGCTCTTGGGGAGCCTCGTAGAAAGCCTGCTATTTCTTTTTGAAACCCCTCACCCCATACAAACTTCCAAAAACCCAATCTACGAAACCCATTTGTCTGCCTGTATTGAGTGGAAGGAGTCATTATAACCTAATGGCTAAAAGTGGGGTGTTGATGCCAGAATGGGGGTGAGCCCTGGCTTTCCCACTTCCCAGCTGATGCCCTAAGCTGAGCCACTTTCCTACCCTGTGCCCAGATCCTGCATTCATATAATCACGGTGTGCCAGCGCATGGAAGAGGGAGTCGTCTTCTTCCTGTCGGGCTCTGAGCAGTACACGCACGCCTGCACGAGCTTGCACAGTTTATACCAGCTGACACAGATTCTCCCAGTGGGTAGATATTCTGGAAGTCACCCCAGCAGCAATGCAGAATGGCTGTCAGAACAGTGGGCCTTGTTTTGTTATCCAGGCCTTCCTTGTCTTGTTGTGCTTTGCTTTATTGCACTCTGTAAACATTGCACTTTTTACAAATACTACAACTTTTTACAAGGTTGGTGGTGGTTCTTCAAGCCAGTCTCTCAGCTCTGCATTGCCTGTATCGTGGGTTCATGTCCTGTCTCATCACATTTGGGCAGTTCTTATCATATTTCAAGCTTAGTCCTTATTTATCTGCCATGGCGATCTGTCATCAGTGATCTTTTTGCTATCATAATTATTTGGGGGCATCATAAACTGCTCCCTTGGAAGGTGGTGAATTTATTATTATTATTTTATTTTATTTATTTATTTATTTTCTCAAAGGAAGGGAAAGTTCTTGCTGTGTTTTTTTTTTTTTTTTTAGAGATTTATTTTTGTTTATTTATACAAGCACTGGGTACAGTCAGAAGCGTGGGAGGGTGAGAGAATTCGCCAGAGCCAGAGCGGGGAGTAGAGCAGGCAGAAGGACCCAAGTACACTGCTGAGGGGAGCAGCGGGTGGCAGGAGAGGTCTGCGGGCCATGTGGGACCCTCCCCTGGTGGCTGGGGAACAGCCAGGGATCGAACTGGCACTGCAGAGGCTGCGGGCAGCTTCGCAACCCAGAGCTCAACCGCTGCGCCACTGGAGAGGCCCTGGAAGGTGGTGAATTTAGTGAGTGTGTGTGTTTCACGCCCCACCAGCAGGCTGTTCCCCATCTCCGGCTCCTCAGGCCATCACCCGTCCTACCATCAGTTTGCTCGGCTACCCCTTGGCCTGAATGAGCGCCAGGCGGTGGGGTAACGTCGCCCACATGCATGCCCTCAAATATTTGAAAGTGCTTATTTAAGCGGTAACCATGGTGTGTATTTAAAATAGAAAAGTAGGCTGCAAATATTTCCTTGGGGGAGGGGGAAGACTCAAACTGAAAAAATAAACACACTTTAAAGCTGCTGAAAATCTAGGTCAGTAACCAATGCTTTGGAAAAGCAACCTGACTTAGAAGATAGTTTTAATATTTCAGGTTTTTTTCAAACTACCTGACTTTTGTGGTTCTAGTGTTTTCATTGACTGAGAAGTCAGTCGCTGTCAACTGTAATGGATTTTTCCATAGGTGTGATCATGCCTGTCAGAGAAAGCAGCCCCTACTCCTTTCAGAACCCCACAAATCACAAGAAAATACAATTTCATGGAGCCTTGGTCAGATACTTCGGGCAGCAAACTGCATTCTGGAGGGTGTATCAAGAGCTGCCATGGCATCTGAAGATGAGCAGCTGCTGGGAGGAGCTGAGCAGCTTCCTCTCAAGTCCGAGGTAGGGCCTGACCTTTGGTGTGTGTTTGGCAGACTTAGGTTGGCTTCTGCCAGCGCTGTGTTCAGGCCCTCTGGTTAGGTTCTCTTGAACATGATGCCTCCACCCACTTCTTCCTTCATGTGGGTGGGACCATCCCTGGGCATCACCTCCTGTGCCTAATGGGTCCCTGGGGTGGCTCCATCCGACCACCTGGCTCTGCAGAATGTTCTTGCCCTTCTGGAAGTTACATAGACTCCTCTCAAAGCGAAGAGGCCTTGTGCTTGTGAGCGAGGAAGAGAGCTGGACAGGAATAAAGATTGGCACGTTCTCTGGGTAGATCCTCCCCTGATTTCCCCTTCTCTCTCTCTTCTCTTTCACTCCCTCTTCCCCTTTCCTCCTTTCTCTTCCCCTCTCCTCCACTCCCATTTCCTCCTCTTTCCTCTTACACATCCTCCAGCGAACATCTATCATTGACCCACTCAGTCTCCCACGCTGCTCTAGGCCTGGGGCTGCAGCTCCAAACCCTTAGTGGGGAAGATGTGGACCAGAACAGCTCCACTGGGTGGCACATGCCTCGCTGGAGCAAGGGTACAGAGCTGTGCCAGCTCAGGAGAGGGAGGGGCTTGCTCTGCTGGCAGATTCAAGGACCTGTCCAGAGGGGGTTCTTGGGCAGAGGCTTGGCATTGGCTTTGACACTGAGGAGTGACGGGCACATATTTATCTGGTGACCTACTTTAGGATTAGGCTGGTAGACTGTGGTGAGTGCAATAGCTGCCTTCGAGGCATGGAATACTGAAATGACTTATCTTTATACACTGTATTACCAGCATCACAGACCTTCTGTCAAAGATCCAAAGCCCGAGCTTCTGGACAAGGCTGCACCTTGTCCACTACTGGAACGTGTTATTTGAAGCTGGATATGATGCCACCAGGGCCTATTTATCCACCGTGGCCAAGGTCAAGGCAGACGGATGCCACAAGATGAAGAAGAAAGGCACGCTGTCAGGTGCGGTGAGTGATGACATGCATCAGTCTGTTTTGCTAGGCTGTATAGGGTGGCCAAGAGTTACTTTTCTCCATTTTGTTCAGTAACTGACCAATCTGACAGATCTTTCTGGTGACCCATCCTCACAATTTTTTTATTTTTGTGTAGACGATCTGAGGTGTAGGCCAGAGCTGTGGGAGGTGAGAGGATTCACCAGAGACAGAGTAGGGGAGCAGAACAGGTGAATTGACTGAAATACACTGCTGAGGGGAGCAACGGGGGTGAGACAGGAGAGGTCTGCTGTGCCATATGTGGGCTAGCTCCCTGGCCAGGGATCGAATTCAGGCGAACTTTGGCCTTAATGGTAATAGCGCTGAGACTTAACCCCTATGCCACCAGGGAGGTCCCTTCCCTACAGTTTAAGTGAACAATTTCCAAAGGTAGGATATCGGGGAAAGTGTTAATTTTGAAGTAACAGCGTACCTGCGCCATCCCTCATTGGGCACTGCTGACAGCAATGGGTGAAAGAGGCTGCTGAGTTCAAAGCGAGTTCAAACCAGGTCAAACATGGATCCCTGCTCTGGGGGGTGGGGGGGGGTGGAGGGATGGGGGGATGGGGGGGTGGGGGTGGGGGGTTTACTGTATAGTGACCATAACAGATTTTGAATATTTATTATGAGCCATACTCTAAGTTAGGTTATTTTATATGTACTGTCTTGTGTAATTAACATGGAATTTCTGTAACACTATTCATGTCTTTATTGAATGATGAACATGGAGTCTCAGAAAGGTGAGGAAAATTACCCATGACAGTTGGGAATGGATCGGGCTATCCTATCCCCCCCCGCCCCCCGGACCTTCAACATCTAGCCTTCACTTTTACTCTTTTTACCATGTCATTTATGTAATCTTGGGATCTGCCTGATCCACGCATCCTCCATGGAGAAGGACCCCGGCCTCAGAAGGGCACCGGTATATGCATAAAGCCACAATTCATTTGAAAATGTGTCAGTGCTTAGGGATGGGGGCGAGTGCTGTCACTCTTCCAAATTGATTCAGCAGTGTTTACTGGGTGTCTGTGTGGTGCCAAACATGGTGCCAGACACCAGGCACGCAGCCGTGACGGAGGCAGCTGTGGCTTCCGCCCTGCTGGATGTGTGGTCTAGTGTAAAATCTACAGTGTGCAGAGCAATCCAGCCTGAGAGCTTCACAGCAGGGGCACGGAGCCTATAGGAGGGCGGGAGGCCTTGTCTCAGAAACAGCGGGTATCACCATGAAGAAGTGATATTTCATCTGAGGTGCGGAGGAGCCAGAGTCAAGAGGGAGAGTGGGGAGTCAGAAGGACTGAACAAGCCCATTTTGTTAATATGATTAACATGTGAGTTCTAGACCCATGGGCACTAGAGAGGAATCTGACTCCCGGACTGCGAGTGCAGAGGTCAAGCTAAGGACTCAGCCCTGAGCCTAAGAGCCGTGGGGATGTAGGTATGATGTGACAGGTTGGGCTTTAACTCTGGGTGGAGTGTGATGGGTGACATGGGGAGGGACAAGCATGGCTTCTTGAAGATTCGTTAGTGGTAATGAGCAGGTAAGAGGCAGTGCTGGCCTAGACCAGGGGGTGACCATGGGCACCTAGAGGAAGGCCTGCATGGAGAATATGAGGGGGTGGTTAACGGGAGATGGGGTGTGAACAGTCCCATGGTTCTGACCTGAATAACTGGGTGGGTGACATTGCTGTCGACCCAAATGGGAGACACTCCCAAAGGAGCAGGGTTAGGGGACGAAGCCACGTGGAGTCTGGATTGACTGTAGAATGCTGGGTGGGGGTAGCGCCTGGTCTCAGAGAAAGAGATGCCAGGAGCATGAGCATACAGTGGGGAATAGCGCCTCCAGGGACTGGAAGAGGGGAGCTCTGCAGGGTGAACAGAGCAGGACCCTGCAGTGAGGGGAAGAGATGGCAGGTGAGAGAGGCAGGAGGAGAGCCTGGGGACAAAGGAATGAGAAATTCCAGGGGGAAGAAGGATGTTAATTAAGTGCTTTCAATTAACTGTTTAATATTCCATTTTATTTTTTTTAATTTTTAAAACATTTTTATTTAACACAATCTATTCTGAATATTATCATTTCCACATGCAATACCTATAAAAGGCGTAATGAGATTATTTTAAAAAATATTTTATTTTATATAATTCTTACATCATTTTTCATCTTTGCACAATGTATGCATTTTCATTATGGTTATATTCCCCATACAATTGTACACCCCCTTATTTTGAGTCTAATCCTTCCTCTTCCCCCACCCCCATAGTGTGTCTCTGGTTTATAGTTGCTTTATGATTTTGATTTTTACTTTGTATTGATTAGTCTTTTTCCTGGTCCCTTATTTAGGTTTTCTAAATTCCTGCTATGAGTGAGACCATCCGGTATTTTTCTTTTTCTTTCTGACTTATTTCGCTGAGTATGATCCCTTCTAAAAATATGGAACGCTTCACGAATTTGCGTGTCATCCTTGCGCAGGGGCCATGCTAATCTTCTCTGTATCGTTCCAATGTTAGTATATGTGCTGCCGAAGCAAACACTAATATTCCATTTTAAATGATTTTCTTTGCTGTGCTGTGTGGAAATCCTCCTCTGATACGGCTACATTTTTAGCAAAAGACTAAAATTTTTACAAAAATTGTTGGGGGCATGAGTAGACTCCACTGTGCTCCAAGTTTAAGGGAGCAGGGATGAGCGCCTGGCAGCAGCAGCCACAAGAAGGAAGTCTTGTGGGCTCTCCGTTGGGGCGTAAATTGGTGCAGTCATTATGGAAAGCAGAATGGAGGTTCCTCAAAAAATTAAAAATGCAAATTCCATTTGACCTGGTTATCCCACTTCTGGGTATTTATCTGAAAAATATAAATACACTAATTTGAAGAGATAGATGCATCCCAAGTTTAATGCAACATTATTTACAACAGTCAAGAACTGGCAGCAACCTAAGTGCCTGTCAATAGGTGACTGGATAAAGAATATAGAGACTCTGCTTCACTGTGCTATGTCTACACCGCAGGATACTACTCAGATATAAAGGATGAAATCCTGGAGTGTTTTAGTGAAACAAGTCAGCTGGAGAAAGGTAAACACTGGATGATTTCACTCATCCTGGTGTGCAGAGAACAAACAATGCCCTAAATAAAAATAAGCTTCTACACATTCCTGGTTACCAGAAAGAAGAGGAAAAGGGGGTGGGGAAATCAGGTAAAAGGGATCAAACATATCATAGGAAGGATGGAACTGGATAGAATGGGTGAATTTAGTGTAGTGTAGACACATATTGACTTTAATGATGCTTATATATATTTTTAAAGGATTTATTTATATATACAAGAGCTGGGGTACAGGCCACGGGTGTGTGTGTGTGGGGGGGGAGGGGATTCACTAGAGACAGAGTGGGGAACAGAACAGGCAGACTGACTGAATTACACTGCTGAGAGGAGCAGCGGGTGAGTCAGGAGAGGTCTGCCGCGCCATGTGGGTAGCTCCCTGGCCAGTCGGGGGATCGAACACATACTGCAGTGTCTGCGGACAGCTTCATAGGTTGCATCCTAATCCCTTGCGCCCGCCACCAGGGAGGCCCATTGATGCTTATATAATCTTATAATACAGCTACTTCAATAAAAAATGTTCTGAGGGAAAAAAGAAATTCCCTGGTGCCCGTTTTGATGCTCATTCTGTCTTACTCTGTGTGAAAGGTAAATAGGCTGCTTACACTTGTGGCCCCTGCTTGCTTCTGGAAAGTTCCTTTAAAAGACGTGTTTTCTCCAACTCTAACTTCTCCTTAGTTTGGTGGGACAGGCGGAATGGGGGCTGCAGGGGCGATGCTTCTGGAAGATGCTTCTGGACGCAGCGCAGCGCGGTGCTGTTTCAGCGCCTCCCAGCGGACTGTGTGCGTTGGCTCCCCCTGGTGGCCGCTACGAGAACAGGCAGGCCAACTCCGCCTTAGGTTGGCTGCTGGCTCTTCCCGGGAGGCTTGGCGTCGGCCCCGGAGATGCCAGGGTTACCCCTCCTTTTCGGGTTCTCCTGGGGCAGCGGCATCTCTGATTGATGACCCATGGAGAGGTCTTTGAGCCTAGAGGATTTCTTCTGTGGTTGGACCGGTTTTAATAGCTTCTCTGGAACACGTGAATGAACAGTACCAACTTTTCATGAACTCAGGTAAGAAGTTTTTTGCCCTTCATTTCTTCAGAAACCTTTAAATATTTTGGATAAACGACACAGAATTGTTTAGTAAACATTAAAAAGGTGGCTCTACAGAAAAATAAAAAGAGCAAAATGCAATTTGCAACGACACAGAAAACATGAAATAACTCTGAATAAATTTAACAAGAAATGTGTCCAATATTTTTATTTAGAAGCTTCAGATTTACAGAAACTAAGATTTCAGAATGTAGCAAGACATACCATATTTAGAATGGGACAGCTCAATGTGTAAAGCTCTCAATTCTTCCCCAGCTGAACTGGGGAACAGAGGCAAGACAATTCTAATGGAAAGCCCAAGGCTTGGGAAACATCTAAATTTTCACAATAATTCTAAAGTGCAAATAAGAGCTTAAAATAATTAGGGCAATTTGAATGTCATATTATTTAAACATATTATGAAACTATAATAGTAATAATAATAAAATACTACTGGCAACAAAAGCATCATCTTCTCCCTGTGTCCTCCCAGGGCAGAAGGGCCACCATCCACCTGATTGAGAGGCTCTGTCACTTCTTGATTTCTTCTGACTATACCTGGGTCTGATCTGGACCGGGAAGTGGGTCCTCACCAGACAAGAACCTACTTGTGTCTTGATCTTAGGCTTCCAGCTTCCAGTATTATGAAAAAAAAAATGTTATTTTGAGAAGGAAGGGGAGCAGGACATTTACAACCTAGGGTCACAGTGAGAACAGAGTCCCACGGGCTGTCAACAGGGTGGATACCTTGTCACCTAACTCTTGAATGTCACAATTTTCTTTGAGTGGACCCTAAAAGGGACACAATTTTCCTTGTGTCAGCAACACAAGGAACAAAGAGAGTGATGAAGAGAATAAAGAATGGAATAAATTGCCGGCACTGCAAGAAAAAAGAAAGAGTAACCGAAGAGGAGCAAGAGGTGAAGTGAAGATCAAGCTTTACAAAAAGAAAAAGGTCTTATTCATCTAGTTCCGCTGAAAAGGACACTTCAAAACAGAAGGAAAAAAAAACAGAAGAAAGAATAAGATCAAAAAGAGAAGCATTTGGACAAAAAAGAGAAGAAAGGAAAAGCAGTCTTCTATCAGTTATAGTTATGAAATCTTCAAAAAGGAACTGAGACTTTGGCTTGGGCTACTAAATTAAGAATTTTGGTTTTGAAAATTATTGGACCTTTATTACGCTTTGCAAGAGATGGCAGCTTTTTCCATATTAGAAAAAAAAATCAGGTGGTTTATCAAATAAATAATGCCTTGATAATAATGGCCCACTATTTGATATAAAATTAAGTTACCTTACCCCAAAATAAATTCCAGAAAGATTAGAGTTACATATAAGGAAATGAAATGTTATATTTAAAAAATTATAAGAAACTGGAGAAGAGTCTAAGCAAGAAAACAAAAGGGTAAATTGTGAAGATGAGTGATAAATTTATCTGAATAAGGGCCTCCCCGGTGGCGCAGCGGTTGAGCGCTGGGTTGCGAAGCTGCCCGCAGCCTCTGCAGCGCCGATTCCATCCCCGGCTGCTCCCCGGCCACCAGAGGAGGGTCCCACATGGCGCGCAGACCTCTCCTGCCGCCCGCTGCTCCCCTCAGCAGTGTACTTCGGTCCTTCCGCCTGCTCTGCTCCCGGCTCTGGCTCTGGTGAATTCTCTCACCCTCCCGCGATTCTGACTGTACCCAGTGCTTGTATAAATAAATAAATAAATAAATCTTTAAAAAAAAAAAAAATTTATCTGAATAAAACATGGACTTTCTATATGTAAAACAAAAACAAACAACACAGAGCAAAAGAGAAAATCAGGAACACAGTTATAGGGCAAATGAGTAGCTGGGAAAAATGCTTGTAATGCATATAGCAGACAAAGGAGGAATATTTCTCATATGTAAAATGCCATTAAAATCAACAAAAGGCACTGGTGAACTTTTCAGTAAAAATAGGTGAGATCTTGAGACCATCCAGAGAATATTTCAGTCTTTGACTTGTTAACATCAACGGATCTTTCTGAACATGCCTGCCTCTTCCAGACACTCTGGCCCTTGACTTTGCTGATATACCCTCCCCCTGACTCCTGTTGGAGCCCTCTGACTGCTCCTTTTCTGTCTCTTATCTCTCTTCCTCCTTTTCTTCCTGGCTTCTCTGTGTTAGAGCTCCTTAAGGCTCTTCTTCCGCAGCTGATTTCACTGTACACGTGTCCTTGATGTCCAGGTTTCATCCCAATCACACTTGTCTTCTGAGCCCCAGATCCACATACTCAAGTGCCTGCCTACCTCTCCATGTGGCTAATCTCCAAAGCTCCTCTAACCTCAAAGTCTGAAACTAAACTCAGGAGCATCCCTCAAAATTTAAATTCTCTTCCAGGGACCATCTCTCAATTTACCACTTTGGATTAATCCACAACACTTTTCTTTCCTTAGTCCCTTCTCAAATCGATTTCATCACTGAGTCCTGACATTTTTTACATTCTAAATGTTTCTTAAAATTATGTTTGTCCTTCAGCACCTTTGCTTTTATCCAGGTGTCACGGCTGCTGTACACAGTTGTGAAGGCTAATGATAGGTCTTTACAGTTCTTCCAGGTCTTTTTAATAACTGCCTCATTTATTTTTGTTGCTGAATAATATTCCTTTGTATCAATGACATACAGTCTATTCATCTATGAAGGATATTTGAGTTTCTTCCAGCTTTTGATGGTTATAATGCTACTATAAACATTGACCTTATGTGGCCTATTGTAACAGCTTTGTGACTAGTCTTTGCTACTTTTGTTTTTATCCCTATAACATCCGCTTAGTAGTCAGGATGAACTTTTAAGAATGTCAGCTTGATCACGTTACTTCCCAGACTGACTGCTTCAATGCCCTGCTGATGCACTTGTACTGAAAACTAAACTTCTCAGCTTACCTGACAATGCCTTGTATAATCTGACCCCTGCATGTTTGGGTAGCATTATCTTGTAAGATTCTTCCTCTTGACCTTTAGGTGCCAGTCACTTGGACCTCTTTCCATCCTTTAGTTACCTCCTGCCTTTGGACCTTGGCACCAGCAGTTCCTTCTGCCAGAAATGTCCTTCCACTCATATTTGTACTTGCTCTCTCTGCTCTTCAGCCTCTGTCTGTCAACTCTGTCGGGTCATGCCTTCCTGCCCTAGAGCCTCTATCCAGAATTTCCCACATTTTATCTCAAAACCTTCTATTCTTTTTTTTTTTTAAGATTTATTTTATACAAGAACCGGGGTACAAGCCAGATGCGTAGGAGGGTGAGAGGATTCACCAGAGACAGAGCGGGGAACAGAACAGACAGACTGATGAAATACACCACTGAGGGGAACAGCGGGCGAGACAGGAGAGGTCTGCTGTGCCATGTGGGACCCTCGCCGGCTGGCCGGGATTGAACCGGTGCTGCGGAGGCTACAGACAGCTTCACATTGCGGCGCTCAACAGCGTGAGCCACCAGGGGGTGCCCAACCTTCTATTCTTTTTTAAATTCTCAGCTCAGTTGTCACTGCCATGGAGAAACCTTCCCCAGTTCATGTCACCTTCTTTTTGGTGGTTCTTATCATAGTCCTAATTTATTTATATTTGTTTATATGATTATCTTTCTCCCCACTCCCCACCTCCTCTGACAGCCCAGCTGGCAGCACCCAGGTCTGTTTGGGCTCATCCTTTCTCTACTTACCAGGATGGTGCCTGGCCCACTGCAGGTATTCAGGGGCTTAGTAAATGGTTATGGTCATTGGAGGAATTAATTCACTGAAGAAGAAATACCAGATTTCATTGGTTCTAAGAAGGAGGCTTATCAAAACCTAACATTTCTGAAATAGGGCTTTATTTTGCAGTTGATGTTTTCTCAGAGTTGGTGAAAAACATTTAAATTATTAATAAATACATTTCGGTGTTTTGTTTTGCTAGTAAAGAAAGGAAAATTAAAACAATTTAAAATGTTATTTTTCGGTACCACATTGGCAATGATTTTGGGAAACAAGAATGATATTGGTGAAGGCATAAAGAAATAGGTACTAGTTCATGTAACAGTAAGAATTTATATTGGATCAGCTCATATTGGGCATCTATATATCTCCACTTTGGCAATCTCTATCCAAAGTCTTAAAAGTATTGACATCCTGTGGCTTATTTAATTTCTAACAGTTGCTCCAAGGAAATAATTGGGGGCTGCAGCCTCGTCTGTTCTGCTTGGGGTTTGGAGCTGAGAAGCTGCTTCATTCATTGTAGATGCTTGTTAAATATTTGCTCTGGGTGTGAATGGACATCCACAGACAAGTTGGCAGAAAGAAAGCAGGATGGTATTCAAGGTCTGGGTGGTCTACAGCTTGAGCAAAGGCATGGATGAAAAACAAGGACTGTGTTTGTATCAAATACATTCAATTCAATAGATGAAATAACTTGAAATGTAGCAAATGGACAAATGTAGAAATTTAAATATTGGGATGTTTGGTAAGAGTGATTCTGAAAATGATAACTTTGTAGTACTATGTATTTAATTAGGTCTTCAAGTTCAAAAATTCTGTTTATTTACAATATGTTGGTGTATAATAACACACAACACACACACACACACAGTTTGCTCTGTATTTTGTTCTTTCCATTAAATCCAGTAATTCAAAATAGTCACAACAGAGGGCAGAATTGTGTAAGATATTTAAATGCCTTTTTCTCCTTGCCTGAAAATCTCCCCCCAAGTTAATTATAATAATACCCAGATTGAACTAGAGAAATATACTTTTTCCTTCTTTCTAGCTTTAGAAGTTTACATACCAACAACATTATTTTAAATAATTATAGTTTTTCATGCCCAAGTTTAAAATACTTGGTAATGCATATAAACCTTAATAAAAGCAAAATACTCATAATTTGAGAGAGAAACACAGAAAGATGGATGATGTATTTAACTCATGATTCAAGATTAAGCAGTGGGTCCTCCTTGTTCCTTTCAAATATGCTTCAGTATTATTTACCTTTCTTTCCCTTTTAGTGCTGGAATGCAGGCTCTTTGAGGTTACTCCCACTGATAAATGCCGATTATTGTTCTTTATTGGGAGATTTTTGAAGTTCATGGGCAAGATCAAAGAAGCAAGAGAATTATTCTTGGATGTCGAGGACATGTTAGTGAAGGTAAAGTGAGATATAATTGTAAACCCTTCAAATGTTATTCCTTTTGTATTAGCTGTTTTCAGATACAATTTACCTTTGTTACTTTATGATTTAGTCCAGAATAGAGGAGTCAGTTATGTTCATCAGTGATAAAGCTGTGATTTTAATCCATCCCCCAAACTGTGCATACACATATGTGATGTACTATATATAATATGTATATATAAAATAATTTTATTGATTTTCCATTGATTTACTGAACTACATAATTTTTTAAAAAGATTTATTTTATTTATTTATGCATATAAGAACTGGAGTGTAGGCCAGAGCGGGGAGGTGAGAGGATTCACCAGATATAGAGTATTGACTGAAATCCACTGCTGAGGGGAGTATCGGTGAGACAGGAGAGGTCTGCTGAGCCTTGTTATTATGTGGATTAGCTCCCTGGCAGGAGATAGGTTGAATGTGCTGAGACTTTAACCCCTGAGCCACCAGGGAGGCCCCTGAACTACATAAGTTTAAGGGATGCAACTTCTCTTTTATGTGTGTCTAGGCCTCAGCTCACCCACCACCACATTTCTAGTGACCTTCCCACTGTCAGGGTCAGGCCCTCTCCCTTTCCCTCCTACTGCTTCCTGCACCTTCTACTGATCACTGTGTTGTTTTTTTAACAGAGTTAGCATTGTTCTGGTTGTGATTTTTTATTTGCTAAACTGTGCATTAATGCTAACAAGCAGTAAATAAGGAGGAGCCATTATAGAATGAATGAATACCAATAGGTGTCATTTTTTTGGGGGAAAAGACAACATTCATGAAGCAAAAAGGGAAATGTAGTAGTGGGTTGAAATGAACTCAAACCACCCATTAAAGACTTAGTTGTAATTTCATGAAAATATTGGGAAAAGTTAATTGATTATCTTCTCCCTGTATTGATTTACTTTTTCTGAAATGTAAACTTTGATCTTTGTTGAATACAATGGAAGTGTTACTTCTACAACCATGCTTTCACTGACATTTAACTGCCTTTATAAAATTATAAATTTTTACTGATTTCAGTAGCATCTGTATTTCCTGAGCAGTGTAACTTGAGACAAACTGTTTTTCTTTTGAAACAAAGACCTTCAGATTTTCATATAGCTCTGCCCTCTGTGTTGACACACATCTTCACAGAAGGAATTCTTACAAAGAGATTTATGAGACTCAACTTGCAAGTCCTTCTATGGCCGAGACCATGCTCATTTACCAATTTATGTATCCTCCATGCCATAGCCTAACCTGTGGGGACTTTGCAAATATGATGAATGGATCAACAAGTCAACTTAAACTTGCATGTACTTCTTCTCCTTAGAAGGTAGTGAGTAGCACACGGGCTGTTTGAACTGAGCCAGATCTTAAGTGCCTTGGCACTTACTGCTCTGTGACCTTGGCAAGACTTCTAACTTCTAACTCAGTGAGTTCTCATTGTTGAAGATTCTTATGCCTGTTGTGTGGGGCTATTAACAGAGTCAAGTAAGAAAGTATACAAAGTAAGAAAGTATACATAGTATATTTAGTTGGCATGTAGTAAGGTCTTAAGACTGGTAGCTATTTTGTTATTATGACCAATGAGTTACAAAGAAACTGAGCGCAGGTTAGAAATCATAGAAAAATTTGATTTAAGCTATTTTGATCACTGTTTCACCTTTCCGGGAATAGAACGTAATGATTCTCTGGTATCTGATAATTGTGGAATTTCTATCATGCTAATTTATTTTCCCCATGAGGTCTGCATTTTCATCACCAACATGTCTGAATAGCACCAATTATTTTATTAAGTAATCATTGAGTGCCTGATGCAGTCATTCATTCATTAATTCATTCATTCACTCATCCATCCACTGACTCATTCATTTACTCATTCATCCATTCACTCAACTAACATTTTTTTGAGGATCTTGTTTGTCCCAAGCGCTGTGCTGGGGGTTGGTGTGACAGCAGAGAGCAAACTGATAGCAGAGAGCTAGGCAGACCCAGTTTCTGCCCTCAAGGAACTCCCAGGCTAGCCGTAAGTCCCTGCCAACCTCTGTGTCAGTGATGAAGCTCACCTCTGGAAATACGCCATTGTGAGGGGGTGAGGCTGGCTTTGAGGGAGTGGTGCCAAAGCTTAGACATTCCAAGAGATTTTCCCACTTTCAAACCTTCCTTTCAGAGGCATTAACCTTATGATTTTATTCTCAAAATATTTTTGCAACAATTCTTTGAAATAAGCCACCATGGAAACAACGAGAAGAATTTTCTGAAGACATTTCCAAAAGAGAAATTCTGAAACTCTTAGGCACTGATGACTACTTTGAACCATGTGCTGACATTCTTGAGCATTCTTGAGGGAAAAAGATGTGATGTATATATTCTCTGCTATGCCACTTTTATGATTTTTTCAGATTAGGTTCCTTCAAAATTTTATTTATTTTTTCATAGAAGAACTGGGGTGTAGGCCAGAAGTGTGTGTGTGGGGGTGAGAGGATTCACCAGAGACAGAGTGGGGAGCAGAAAAGGTGGATCTACTGAAATACACTGCTGAGGGGAGCAGCGGGCAACACAGGAGAGGTCTGCTGCGCCATGTGGGTCAGCTCCCTGGCCAGGCATGGAACTCAGGTTGTAGTGGTGATAGCACTGAGACTTAACTCCTAGCCACAAGCGAGGCCCTCATTTCAAAATTTTAGTGCAGTGGATTGTAACTGGGAGGCACCCCCCTGCCCACCCCTTCGCACACCTGGAAATATTTGGCATTGCTAGAGATATTTTTGCTCATCCCCACTTGGGGGTATTGCTGCTGGCAGCCAGTGGGCACAGAGGCCAGGCATGCTGCTAAATAGCAGGCAGCACAGGGCCCCATAGCACAGGGTCTTCCTGCCCAGTGTCCAGTGCTGCTCAGGTCTAGAAGCTCTGATTTAAATGGTGTGTTTGTTAAGAGAAAAGTAGGTCTCACTACCCTCCCACTGGTTTTCACAGTAGGTGCTGCTGGCGGCAGGAAAGCAAAGGAAGCAGTTTTGAAGGGCCTTCTGTTTATGCAGCAGGGGTGTAGCTGATCAGGAGCTGTACTGGCCACACTGGAATTCCAGGTCACATGGGCAGTGTTTTTAGGTGTGCACTTGAATTCTGGATAATCCCTCCTCTGGCACCTTTAATATGTGCAAGACATCATCATGGCATCCTTCAAACATTCTTATTGCCACTAACTAGCAACCTATGAAAACATTTTCCAAAATTAATTTTCTGTTTGCAACATCTTTCAATAAACTCATTGTTTTGTAAATATTTGGAATTGCTGTGACATGTGCCATCTTTGGCAAAGTCATTACAAATTGAGCCTTCCTCAGGCAGGTGTCAACGGTCTTGCCTGATGGGGCAATGCTGTGTCTCCTCAGGGGGGGTTTCTTTCCCATTTTGTACAGATTCAATCCATGAGGGAAATGCTCGTCAAGGTGCAGAACACTATTGGAGAACTCTACCTGGAGTTAGGGTTGACCCAGGAAGGGTTCCAGTATTTCCAGAAAGCATGGTTGAAAATGATGGAATTTTCGTCAAGCAACTTAACAGACAACCAGGACTTAGTGAAGCAAAAAGGTAATGGCGGACACAGCGGGGGGGGGGGAGTCTCCCCACAAAAAGACAGGAGAGGATATGTGTGCTTTGTTGGCTTGATTTTGGGGGCAGTGATTGGCACAAGAGAGTTAGCCAGAAAAGCACTCTTCCGGCAGGCCACCCTTTCAGATGGCCCCGGGTGCTTGTGATGCGCCTCAGAAAAAAAGGCTTCGATCAGGAAGGGGGCCATTCAGAGCTCAACTTTCTGGGTTCAAATCCCACCTGTCCACATCTAGTTCTGTGTCTGCAGACATATGCCAGCCTGTTTGGGTCACAGTTTTCATATTTGGAAGGGAGGAATCACAATGGCACCTATGTTGCAGGTTGTTGTGAGGCTGAAAGCATTTATAAGTGACTGAAAAGCCCCTGGATGGGTGCTGGCTGGTGGGTAAGTTGTGCCACGAGAGAGGTGCCATTATTTTATTCTCTTGATGCCCAGGGCTGCTGTAGTCCCACTGCAGGGGAGAGGCAAAGGGTGCCCATGGAACTGGGGTATTCAGCATACTTGACCTGCTGATTCCACTCAGACTAAAGGGCTCTACTGTGTTATAGTTAAACAACTATCAATTAACTTTTACTGCGTAACAAACAACTCCAAACTCTGACTTAAGACAGTAGCCATTTATTATTGCCCAGGGGTCTGTGGGTGGATGGGGGTCCCTCCTGTCCAGGGTGGGCTCATGCATGTGCTCAAGGTCAGCTGGTAGGGCCCAGTAGGCGGGCTGGTCTTGAGACCTTCTTTTTGATGTCTGGCACCTGACTGGGTGCCAGATGGGATGAAGGGTGAATGTCCCCAGGAGGGTAGCTGAGCCCATTCACCAGTGGTTCATACTTGGGCGCAGCGCTGGCCAAACACTCCTCCGCTCTGCTCGGCTGGTCCGAGCACGTCCCCAGCCTTCGTGTGCAGGTAGAGCAAGATTCCACCTCTTGAAGGAAGGAAGCCTGGGGGGACCCTGGTGCAGGCTGTCATGGAGAAATTTTGCAATCTACCACCAAGGCTACAGAGCAAGGTCACCTTGGGCAAGCTATTTACCCTCTCGAGTCTCATCTATAAATTTATTTTTATGGTAATTGTTATCACCTGCTGGATGCTTATTCAATGGAAGGCCTATTAGCTTGTGATCTCTTTTATCTTCCAATACACCTCGTGTAGAATGTGTTGTTACTCCCAGTTTACAGATGGGAAGCTGAAGGTCAGAGAGATTAAATGACTTTAACTTCCATTGGGAGCATAGCTGGGACTGGGAGTTTGGCCCAGACCCTCTGACCTTAGATCCTGTCTGTAAATCCTCGCTGTCCAGGATTTTTGGAGGTGAACGTGGATGCTCAAGGCGCGGGGTCATTAGCAGCAGCTTGAAGGGGAAACACTGGCTTTTCAGTGTCCCCACACGGCTCAGGCAGGGATTCAGGACCCGGGCGTGCAGATGAAGAGGGATGGGGTGGGGGTGAGGACTCCATCCCGACCAGGGCCTCACTGGTTCAAGAACTACCAAGCACCTGTTGAGTCCTGCACGGTGACCAGGACAGAATCAATAATCAGCTCTCAAAGGGGGTGACACACAGCACTCAGGAAGGCAACGGATCAAGAATTCCAGGTCAGTACAGCCCCCAACTATTACAACATTTCACTGATGGAGACCTCTGTCCCGAGGTGTGCAGCAGGCCGTGCTGGCTAGGTATGTGTGATCACCCTCTGACCTCTGCGCAGAGACGCGTTTCTCAGAATGGGGACATTTAGGCTGAGAGCTGACAGGCTGCAGGGTCATCTGTGAGAGGGCAAGGGCATGGCAAGTGCAGAGGCACGAGAGGATTTTGCTCCGGCGATGTACAGAGACTGGGTGAGCACAGTGTGGAGGGCTCTGGACCCAAAGGGCCCAGGACTAGGGGCTCAACCGGCATCTGTGTTGTATTCTCAGTTCAGGGGAAGCCATTGTGGGGATTTAGGGTGCGGGTGGCACGTGTGGCTTCTGTTTGGAACTCACTTTTGCTGCTCCATGGAGGATATGTTACAGGGTGGGGAAGACTGGATGTGGGGAGACCAGGATGTGGTCTGTGGTTGCCCTGACACCCACAGGCTCACAGTGGTGGGGGAAGGGTGGGGGAAGGGTGGGCCAAGGGTGGGCCCTAGGCCATGAGTGGAAGGGATAAATGCTTCTTCATCAGTTGATGGTAATCCCTTATCATTGAACCTGGATTCCTAAGCACAGGGAATTAAATCTGCTTTTTTTTTTTTCATGTTAGTAATATTCTTAAATTTTTTTTTTTTATAGAGGCATGTTTTTATTTATTTATTTATTTGTTTTGTTTGTTTGTTTATACATGCACTGGGTACAGTCAGAAGCGTGGGAGGGTGAGAGAATTCACCAGAGCCAGAGCGGGGAGCAGAGCAGGCAGAAGGACCGAAGCACACTGCTGAGGGGAGCAGCGGGCGGCAGGAGAGGTCTGTCGCGCCATGTGGGACCCTCCTCCGATGGCCGATGAGCAGCCGGGGATCGAACCGGTGCCGCAGAGGCCGCGGGCAGCTTCGCAACCCAGCGCTCAACCGCTGCGCCACCAGGGAGGCCCACATGTTAGTAATATTCTAACACCTTCTGGGAACATTGTTATGTTTTTTTCTCTTCCCATAACAAAGTACCACTTAAAAAGCTCTTTTCCACACCCTGTGCAAATTTTTTAAACATTGATTTTTCTTTGGTTTTTAAGAGGACACTTTCTATGTTAGGAGTCTGTATCATTATCAGAATATACAACTTTCCATAAAAGGGTAAAATATTGGCCTTTGCTGAGAGTCTGTCCCCAGGACAGTGCACATCTAGGTCCAGCCTCTTATTTGTTGTCTGGTTTTGGGGACTGATCCATGTGCTTCCTTTTTAAAGGCTGTTTCAGTTTAATTCTCTCACCGCCAGACTGCACCAGCCGCCTCCTGGAGAACAGGGCTACCAGAAACAACTGCTTCCTCCCCATCCACGTTCTCACTCTATTTCTGACCCATTCATTTGCAAAACAGACTCCAAATTTGGTTTCAATCTCTTGTCTTAGCTCCTTGGCCCTAGAATTGCTGTGCACGCACAGATTTGTTATATGAAAACTTACTCCCATGGAGCATTGGTCAGGAACTGATGTAAGAAAAAATCCTGGCCATGAGCAGTGATGAAGAAATGATGGTAAATCCTCTGCCTATTGGCATTTTAACTCTTTCGTGGGAAAAAAAGCTTAAGCAGCACCTTCACCACCAAAAATGTGTTCCCTGCAGGCAAAGTGCTGAACAACTTGGCAAAGTCAGCATCTGAGGAGTACTTGAAAGAAAACAACATTCTGGATTATGTTACTGATATTTCCAGCTTGTTGGACAACAACCCCCGCGACCAAGCTGACATGAAATACACCGAAGGTGTCCTGATGTAAACATGTATTTTTTTCTTGAGAATTGTCTTCTTTTCTGTACTAGCTTTGATTGTTAGCTTTTAGGTGTTTGATATACTTAATCCATACTTGTCAATCCATTTCCCACTTAACTGATTGTCTCAAATGCTGAACTTCAGCATTTTCGTCCCCAAGTTCAGTGGTTCTCCACCAGAGTCTGGAGAAGCTTCTGATTGTCAGAACTTGGGGGCTGCTATTAACAACCAGTGGGTAGATACTGGAAACACCCTCTAGTGCCCAGGACAGCCCCAGAGCTAATTATCCAGTACTACATGCCGATAGTGCTGAGCTGGCACTCTTGTTGCACACACATCTTATAAATCTCTATTATTACCAACAGCTCTGCTGCACAGATTTTTATATAAAATAAAGGATGTTGAAGAGAGTTATTTTTGATAGCACGATGGAGCTAGGCCACATTTATCATGCTAGTAAATAATGCACATATGTTTTATTTTCAGATTAGCAACTGGAAACACTTGTCTTGCAATGACAAAATTTCACGAGTGCTTAAATATAAGAAAAAGTTTGTTTGGCGAGAAGAACATGCTAGTTGGAGAAGTTCTGGAAATTTTAGCTGATTTGCTGTTTTTTCCACTAAGAGATTATCAAAAGTAAGTTTTTATGAAATGACATAAGTAGCGTGTCTCCTTTCTCCCCAAAGCTACCAGTGGCAGGGAGGTGTGGGGCCCTCTACTAGGCAAGTGCCACTTATTTGACTTCAGAAGTCTGAGGGCCTCACCATGCCCGTGGATTTGGTCCTAATTTGTTTTTCAAGTTGCCAACCTTAAGGAAACCAAAGGGGATCTCTTAGCCCTTGGAGAGAGTGGAGGTTCTGGCAGAAAGAATGGTACAAAGGAGTTTGATGCCACTGCTCTTGCAGCATCACCCACAGACCCGTGAGGAAGAGGTTTCAGGACTAGATTCATCAAGTTTCTATTTTTTTTAAATTATAGGTTTATTTATTCATGTGCACAAGAACCGGGGTACAGGCCAGAGGTGCGGGAGGGTGAGAGGATTCACCAGAGACAGAGTGGGGAGCAGAACAGGCAGACGGACTGAAAGCACTGCTGAGGGGAGCAGCAGGCGAGACAGGAGAGGTCTGCCGCGCCTGCAGAAGCTGCGGACAGCTTCATAGCGCTGCGCTCAGCCGCCTGAGCTGCCAGGGGAGGCCCTCATCAGGTTTTTAGATTCTTGTTTACCTGGCCATGGGAACAGCAAAGTTTTGTCCTTGAGTCCTGTCCTGTCTGTTCTGGGACCCATCCTGTCTCATGACCACTTCTTCTCTTGACAGTTTGTATGGGAGAAGGCTCTTGTTGAGTCCACAGAGAGTCATATACACCACTCCCCTCCTTTGGCTGGACTTGTACGCTGTTGTAGCTGATTCAGCTGACTGACTGGCCATGGGCCCTCCAGCTTAAGTTGTGAAGTTGTGAAATTTTGGGGTTTGTAACGTCTCTCCCTCCCTTCCTTGTTCCCTGTGTCACCTTCTACTTTCCTCAAGAAAATTTCCCTCTCACCTCTCCCCAGGAAGGTGACCTCTTCCAGCTTTTTTTCCTGGGAAGAATGTGATGTTGGTAATCTCAACATTTAAGGGCAAATCAATAGTTAACCTTTATTTAAGAGAGTTTACTTTTAAAGGAGTAGCCCAAGTAAAGGAGTATCTCAGTGTAAAATTACCAGCATTTACAGTGTTGGGGAATGCTGGACTCTGGCATCCAGTTACCTGGGTTCAAATTTTGTTTCTGCTGTTTAGTGACAGTGAGAACTTGGGCCCTGACTTAACATCTCATTCAATTCCTCACTGGTAAAATGAGGATGGTAATTGTATCTTCTTACATGTGAAGTGCTTAACAGAAAGCCTGAGATATACCGAAAGATTTCAAAACATTGAGTGCTTAGTTTTTGTTATTTTGCTCTCCAGCGGGTAATTTTTGAGGCACGTGGAACCATATCAACCTCTCTTTGATCCTTTTAAGACCAACTCAGTGAGCAGAGAACAGGAATTTCTTTAGAGAAGCAAAAGACTTGATAGAACCATTGTCTTGTAAAAAAAAAATAAATCTAAGCTGGTAGTATAGTGACAGTCATCTCTACTTCCCGGCCTGTGCTACCTCAAATCCAGAGCTGCTAGAGCGTGGAGTCATGAGACACCTCATATTGCTGAGCTGTTTCTCCAGCATGGCCTCTGTATCAGAGAACCTGACCAGACTTGGATGCCTTCTTCCCGGGCCTCGCTGTCAACAGTCAGCCTTCTGAAACAATCAGGAAAATGCCTCCAAAATGTATATAGATCCTTGGTCCTGGTGGCCAGGAACCCTGAGACAGCTCTCATGCTCTACAGAGGTGGTACCAGGGACCCCGAGAATCTGGAATGGGGGTAAGGTAGGGTTGGATAAATGAGGTCAAATTAAAAAATTAAAAGTAAAAACACAGGACAGAGAAGAATTAACAAACTGCCTTGTAAGAGGGACAGTGAGGTGTTCTCAGGGAGATAAATGTCATCTACTCTGTCTCAACTTTGTAGCCATCATCGGCAGCTGTCTTTCCATCACTGTCTTCTTCATGGTCAAGTTTATTTACTTCCTCAATTCTCATTCACTGTTGTTTGGCATTTACCTCCACCCAAACCCATCTTGTCTGCCATCAGGATGTCCCACTGTGTCCTTCTGCACTTCGAGCTGGTTGGCCCTCTCCCGCTTCTGTCTCCAGGATGTCAATCACACCCTTCCTGAAATCACACCCTCCTGCTTTCTGAGGAACCTTTTCTCACGGAGATCTTCTCAGATTGTGTCTTCTTAGTTTCTCTTACGGTTTTCTCTTTCTATCCTAGCCTCCTGTCCAAATAGTGGTTTTCTCTTGGGTTCAGTTCTTGGGCTCAATGCTTGCTCTGAGCCCCTCAACCTCATCCATGTCTAGGGGGCTTCAACCATTACATCCTAAGATGATGGGGTCTTCCTCCATCTTCTCAGATCTCCATCCTGTTTTCTGTAGTGTCTCAACCAAGTTTCATTCCCACTGAATGTGCAGGAGGATTCCTTTTTCTGCACATCCTTGCCCATACGAATTATTTCTTGGATAAGGGCCATTCTAGCCAGTGTGAGGTGACATCTCTCTGTGGATTTGATTTGCACTTCCCTAATAATAAGCAATGCAGACGCCTTTTCTGTGACTGCTCGTTGAACGAATGACTGCCATGCTCCCTCAGTGCCAAACTCTAATGAAATTTCTCTTTTCTAGATTCATAAGGAAGAAAGCGATTGAATATTATAAACAAGTGATAGATATAAAGGAAATCGCATGCACTCTCACCAACTCTTTGCTCATCAAGAAGCAGCTGGGCATCAGCCTAAGCGATACCTTGTGTAAATTAGGTAACTGCTCTGACCTATGTCTATTAAAAGTATGTGGCTTTCCCCCATTCTCTCACTTGCATACTTTGCTTCTTTAAAAAATAACTCTTCAATTTTGAAGCAAACAACTCTTGTCCCACATACTTTTAACTTAATTTGCTACCTTAATTTGTTTCCTTTCCTCATTAAAAAAGTGGTTAGTCTGTTTGGGCTGCTATTAACAGGATACCATATTCTGGGCACTTAAACAATAGAAATTATTTCTCACAGTTCCAGAGGCTGGGAATTCCAAGTTCAGGGTGCCAGCTGCTTCAGTGCAGTGCCCAGTGAGGTTGGTTCTGCTCCCTGGTTCATAAGTGGCATCTTCTCCCAGTGTCTTCACAAGGCAGAAGAGAGGGGTTGAGAGCTCCCTGGGAGCTCATTTATGAGGGCATTAGTCCCATTCACGAGGGCCCACCCTCACCACCTCATCACCTCCACCTCCGAAGGCCCTACCTCCTAATACTATCACCTTAGAGGCTAGGGTTTCAACATAAGAATTTTAGGGGGACACGTCAGTTCAAAATAGAAATACATTTCTTGAAAATCTTTTCCCTCTCATTTCTCATTCTTGTAGGCTGAGCACTATGCCCAACCACATCCCTCTCCTGTCAGTGTAGGTTCCTTTCGCTCTTCAAATTCTGTTTTAAGATGTTATATAGGAAGCCCCTTTTCATACTTGTACCTGCGATGCTAATGTGATGTGTGGTCAGAAATAACCAGAAGGTTTTCACATGGGCCCACCCATGGCTTTACTAGAGAACATGGGACTTAGTGCCTCAGAAGGAGCGTTTCACATCCTAGTCATATGCTGAGGAGGAAAAAGGTTGGAAAAAGGAAAAAGGTTGGAAAAAGGAAAAAGCTTTCAAATAGTTGATGCCTGTAGGGAAAGAATATTTTCAGACTGTAGAATTAGGAGTATGGTTTCTGTACATTTTTTTTTTTATGAGGTGTTTTCGGCTGAGCGAGTGAACATTGTTTTACAACCAGAAAATGCAGATTCAAATCTAGAGAAACTTTATGGAAAAGGAACTGGTAAATCTAATCTGATTGCTTTGTATAATATTTTGTTACCAGTTTTGATGTCTGGTCTATGATGGAAGTGCAATATGTTCACTTATTTTCAGGTAAGTAGCCATCTGCAATCCCAGTGGCAATGTTTTTGTGACTTCTTAGTCTTTACTGTATGTTTCAATATTTCAACATTGCAGTCAATTTCCAGTGTGGTTGTGATTACATAAAAATACTATAAAATGTACAAATGTTACCAAAAATCCGAAGTATGTTTGTGTAAGGAGACCTTTCTTACCACAATTCTATGCCCTTTACTTCCTGATGTTGATTGAGGTTGAGTTGCTTAACAAAGGCCTACTGGGCTCATGGGAATGTGGTCATGGTTACTTGATATGAGTTGATATGAGTTTCTTGTGCTTTTGTTTGCATCTGTGATGGGGAGGGCCCACAGGCATCTTTAGTACTCAAAGAGGAGGGTGTGGGGAGGGACCTTGGAATCAGTTGTCCTTTAATTTAAGAAATATTTTTACTTGTCTTATGTAGAGAGGAAAAACTTTTCTTTGATCCTCTTAGGGTTTGACTGGGCCTGAAAATAAAACTAAAAAGATAAAAACTCTTTTGCCATCCACATGCTATTGGAACTTGTAGATAGAAATGTAGGAGGCCAATTTTGTTCAGAAGTTTTGTCTCCTGTGACTTTTGTCAGAGTCCAGGATCTCTTACCAGCAGCTGTCAGGCCACGCAGGGTCCCAGATAATAAAATTCCATCCTTGTCACCAAAACTGTAGGGGATGAAAAAAATTATTTCTTCTCCCCTCCTAGGTTTTTCCACTGGGACCCTATGAAAGTAGATTGAGAAAATAGAAAGAGAAAAGCCAACAGCAGTTTGTGAGCCTGGGCGTCACGCCACACGGAGAGCAGGCACTCCCGTGATGAGTAACTCTAAGAGGTAGTTAGAACTTGGAGTCTGTGTACTAACTTAGCAGGGAGTTGCGAGGGGGAGACAGGGCACTTACAGCGAAGGAAGTCCCTTGTTTTGAAAGATAAATGGGCTCTTAAGAGAACAGACAATGTGTAGTTCATGACAGTGTCTGTCTGGGTTGCTGGCTGCTAGTCTCTAGGAAGAAAAGATTTCAGCTGTTCCATTTCTGACACTTGAGTGCTTCGGGGAAGCGCTGCTTTTAGTCACATCAGGGATTTTCAGGAACTGATAATAGCAGCTCTAAAGAATTCTTATTTCAATATGGCATATTTTGGGGTGGCCTATCTTGACCTTTTACCTACCTTTAAATGGAAAATTTCTGTCTAACTGGAAATGTGACTGAGTTGACTACATGAAATAAGAAAAAAATAAGCCAGAGCCATATATACCTGGGACTCCCCACCATTAGTCATTTTAAGGAAGTCTTAGACCCTCTGTAATAAAAGTATTACCAAGTGTCCCATTAGTCATCAAAACAGTCTTCTCTCAAATCTGTGCTATGTATTTTTGCACTGAGGACAGTGTATGGTTTTCTCAAGGCAGAGGGAGTGTTAGGAACCTACAGTCTTTGATTCCTCTACTGTGGTCATCACAAGAGGTTCAAAAAAAATATGCTCAAATAATACTGTGAATCCACAGTCACAAAGGGGCTCGAAGGACTCTTTTAAAAAAATGATTTATTTTATTTATTTATGCATACAAGGACTGAGGTATTGGCATACAAAGACTGGGGTATAGGTGCAGTGTGGGGGGCTGGGTGAGAGGATTCACCAGAGACAGAGTGGGGAGCAGAACAGCCAGTTTACTGAAATACACTGCTAAGGGGAGCAGGAGGCGAGACAGGAGAGGTCTTCTGTGCCAATTGAGTTAGCGCGCTGGTTGGGAATTGAACTCATGCTGCAGTGGCTGCAATAGCTTCATGTGCTGAGACTTAACCCCTTGCACCGCCAGGGAGGCCCTTGAAGGACCCTTTTTTGACTTTTTTTTTTTAATACAAGGACTGGGTACAGTCAGAAGCGCGGGAGGGTGAGAGAATTCACCAGAGCCAGAGCAGGGAACAGAACAGGCAGACCGATGAAATACACTGCTGAGGGGAGCAGCGGGCACGGCAGGAAAGGTCTGTGTGCCATGTGGGACTCTTGCCAGGGGCCGGGGATTGAGCTGGCACTAAAGAGGCTGCGGGCAGCTTTGCAGCCCAGCGCTTAACCGCTGCACCACCAGGGGAGGCCCCCTTTTTGGACATTTTACTTTCTATTTCTTTCTAGTGTGAGTGTGTTGGCCTCTCAGGGATTATGAAATCCCAGGAACAAGAGCCTTGCCATCTTTTCTTTGTGTTCTCACAGCACTACCGAGTCCTGGCTGTACATGGGTGCTCTGTCCACAGAGGAGGGGTTGCAGGTGAGGAGTGGGTGAACCAGTTCTTGCTGGGTGCTTACACAGTTCACCTGAGCACCCCACAGAAACAATGGCTCTGCTCCAGTCTAAACACATTTGAAGAAACAATTCACATTGTAGTTTTAACTATTGAAAACAGTCATCTTTAGTTGACTTTTCAGATTTCAGTTTAGATTATAGAATTAAGTATGGTAACTGCTGGCTTGAAAGACTTAGCATAGTCCTTAGTCTTGAAGGAGAGTTCCCTGTTCAGAACAGGCCTTCCCAAAATGTGTCACTGTGGCATGTGGATTATTTAGAGCTGAGATCAAGTGAGGCCTCGAAGGCTCATAAGAAACTTTTCCCACTCCCTTAACTACTGAGAAGAATGAAAGTTGGGGCTGTCACCCAGAATTAGGATTTTTATCCAAACAGGTTTAAATAGTTTTCTATCAAAGAAACCTATCTGTGTGGCAGGCAAACATCTAACTAAGGAGCATGTGGTCTTCATTATGAGTCCTCCTCCTTTGTCCTGAGAGTCCAAGCCCCTATTCCATCCATTAGCTCAGGGTATGTATTTATATACGATATATATATATGTAAATATATATACATTGTATGTATTTATATATATGTAATTATATATGTCTTATGTAGAGAGAAAAAACTCTTACCTATGTATAACTCTTACATATATATGTATTTATATATATATATACACATATGTATTTATAAATATACACACACACATATCCTCATTTTGCCCCATTGGCGTTAGAGAATCCCCAACCAGGTATACCATCCATAGTTATGTAACTAAATTTGGTTTTTCTCCTACTAATCTATCTGATATAATTTGATTGCTTGACCAGCCTAAGAAGAACCTAAAGGGGGTGAGGGGGAAGTTTCCTCTCCTCTCTGACTTTTATTATTACATTTGATCAACATGTAAATACAGCATCCTCTGTATGAGCGAGGGCATGAACATCATGGAGTTCAGCAATATTTCAGACTTAATTATACTCACAATATTTTTATGCATGAGATTAGAGTGAGATATGTTAACACAATGGATATGCCCAAGACAAATACATTCTAAATTTTGTTTCTTCTCCTCATCACAATTTCATGAGGCACTTACTAAAAAGTAAAATCTCTTTCTTTATAATATAGCCTTCAAAGCTCATCTCCTCTCAACTTTAATCCAGTTTCAAGAACAACAAACCTTACTCTAATAAAACTGTTAATTCTAGATATTTGAATACTAATTCTATGAAAAAAGGCTTTTTTTTTTTTTTTTTTTTTTTTGGTGATCGATGTTCCAAGTTACCTCTGACACAGGGATCTTATGCTCCTTTTTTGGTTGAGTGTTTTCAATCTGCCCATTAAGAAACCATTTCAGTGGGAGAAAGAAACCAGAAATGTGACTTTTCATATTCCATTATATCAAGCTGAGTGTTCTGCACTGAATTGTTTATTTTGGATGAAGTATGGTAGATGAACATTGTGTTTCTTGCTTCTCCCTGGGATTCTTTTAAAAAAGAAATGCCAGCCATCTCGTTCACATTTAGAAGGAAGAAATTAAACAAAGGCGCTAGTGGGTGACTTTTAG